TTCTTTTCTCAGCTCTGAAGAGCTCCCATCTCAGGGACCTTCCCTTTCTCTCCTCTCTGCAGGTGACCAGAACGTGGAATACAAGAAGACCGTGTGGCACAAGGATTGTTTCACTTGCAGCCAGTGCAAGCAAGTGATTGGCACAGCCAGCTTCTTCCCCAAAGGAGATGAGATTTATTGCGTTTCCTGCCACGAGCATAAGTTTGCCAAGGCTTGTGTGAAGTGTAAGAATGTAAGTCTTGGGCACCATCGCTCCATTTTTCTTGTTTTCAACCATGTCTCCCTCTCTCTTTCGGATCTATAGACATGAGAACATGAAGTTGAAGGTCCCTTCGTTATTCAGAACAGGGGTCTCCAAGCTTGGCAACTTTAAGACTCGTGGACTTCAACTCCCAGAATGCCTCAGCCAGCCATGGTGGTTGGCTGAGGAATTCTGGGAATTGAAGTCCACAAGCCTTAAAACTGCCTAGGTTGAGAAACATTGGACTAGGTGATCCTTCTAATCCCCTCCAACTCTACCATTCATGTCTGGCTGGGGAATTCTGGGACCAGAAGTCCATAAGTCTAAACGTTGCCAAATTTGGAGCTTCCTGATTTAGAAGGAGGGGCTGCATTAAAATGCACTCTTTGGGAATTGTACATCCCGTTTTCTTTCATTTTCTAGCTTTGCCCAGTGACATCAGAGAATAGGAGGCTAAAAACCAAGGCTGGGTGATCTGTAATGAATTATTCCTATTTCACAGAGAAGTCCAGTTGACACTTATTGCTAAATTCTAATAGTTCATTTGAAATAGGCCTTTGATGGAGCTTCCTGGCCCTTATTTACGGGATTATGTGCAAACATAAGATCTGAAAAGGAGAAATAAATGGATGGGTAGAAAATGATCTAGGTAGGAAAATTCCGTTGCACGCTTCAAAAAAATGTTCTGATTCAGTTTGATGAAAGACAATTTGCTTTAGAAAATCATTTGTAGGGGAACAGAGTTTAAATTAAACCATCATCATTGGGAGTCTGGATGCTTGCATTTCTTTAGTGTCCAGGTGGCCAAGATGGTTGTGTGAATGTATTGTCTTCCACGGTACAGTCCTTTGTTGGTCTGGAATTCAGTGTTTGGCGTTTCAGAAACATTTGGCTTCCATGCAACCCCAGGAGAATGTCTCCTATGGGATTGTTGAGTTGGCCTGTAAGGAATTCTTGGGAGAATTTTCCTTCCCAAAACAACTTTGGAGAAACAATTCAGTCCCTTGGTCTGCAAATTTGATGGAGAATTTCCACAGGGCCTTTGGGACTCAAGGCTAACCTTTGTTCCACTCCGTGAACTCAACATTGTCGGTTGGCTGGTTTCTTTTAAGGCCATCACTTCTGGAGGCGTCTCCTACCAAGATCAGCCTTACCATGCCGAGTGCTTTGTATGTGCCACTTGCACCAAGAAGCTGGGCGGGCAACGCTTCACCGCAGTTGAAGACCTGTTCTACTGCGTGGATTGCTACAAGTCTTTCGTGGCTAAGAAATGCAACAATTGCAAGAACCCCATAACAGGTAAGCAACCAAGCATCTGCTGAAGGGTTCCAGGTGAACCATGTGGTGGCTACGTTCTTTCTTGCTCTCCCTCTTCTGGAGAAGCAGCACCTCCCTAACTGTGATTGGAATGGAGCTGAAAAGGACCTTGGAGGTCTTCTAGTCCAGTCCCCTGCTCAAGCAGGAGCTCCTATACAATTTCAGACAAGTGACTGTCTAAACTTTTCTTAAAAGACTCCAGTGGTGGATCACCCACAACCTCTGGAGGCAAAAGCTGTTTCACTGGTTGATTGTTCCCACTGAAAGTAAATTTCTCCTTAATTCCAGGTTGCTTCTCTCCTTGATTAGTTTCCATCGTTTCTTGTCCTGCCTTCTAATGCTTTGGAAAATAAGTTGACCCCCTCTTCTTTGTGGCAGCCCTTCAGATATTGGAAGACTGCTATCATGTCCTCCCTAGTCCTTCTTTTCTTTAGACTGGCCATTCCCAAATCCTGCAACTGTTCTTCATAGGTTTGTCTCCAGGCCTTTAATCATCTTAGTTGCTCTTTGCACTTTTCCCCCAAAATCTCAACAACTTTTTTGTAATGCGGTGACCAAAATTGGTTGCAGTATTCCAGATGTGGCCTTACTAAGGCTTTATAAAGTGGTACTAATACTTTGCGTGATCTCGATTCTATGCCTGTTTATACAACCCAGGATGGTGTTAGCTTTTTTGGCTGCTGCCACATACGGCTGGCTCATGTTTAAGTGATCGTCCACTAGGACCCCAAGGTCCCTCTCACAGTTTTTGAGCCAGGTTAAGCCTAGTCTGTACTCGTACCTTTGGCTTTCTCCTGCCTGGATGTAACACCTTGCTTTTGTCCACATTAAATTTCATTTTGTGTGATGCTCTCTGTTCTTTCCTTGTCTCCAGGCTTTGGAAAAGGCACCAATGTGGTGAGCCACGAAGGCCACTCCTGGCATGAGTACTGCTTCAACTGCAAGAAGTGCTCCATCCCCTTGGCCAACAAGCCTTTTGTCTTCCACCTGGAGCAAGTCTACTGCCCCAACTGTGCCAAGAAGCTGTAAGGGGGGGGCAAAGTGAAGGGCAGCAGCAGGAACCGCTCAGCTCTTTCCTGTGAAGCCGCTTGGAGATCCCCTCGGCTTGCAAGCAGCCTGGCTGTAAGCATTTGCATTGTAGCCCCCCAAGCCCACCCCTCTTTTTGCTTTTCTAAAGGATGTTAAGGCTCTTTTCCCCATTCCCTCTACAGGCCATGCCCAATAAAGGATTGACTAACTGCAGCAGCCAGCTCTGCTCTCTTGCCAAACGTAGAGGTGCAGGCTACATCTCACACTTCCCACGTCCTGGCTTCGCATATCTGCCGGTTAGGGGACTAGCAGCTCAGCAAGGGTGAATTCACATGGCTGCTTTTTCAGAACATCTCCCCATCTCCTGGGGTAGAACCCTTTTGCAAAGCCATAGAAAACAAAGAGAGGCTTGCAAAGATCTGGCAGCTGGAGGAAAACAGATGTTCAAGGGGCTTGAAATAGGTGCCCATTTGTTCTCTCAATGTGTACGACCCAAAGCTTGCTACAGCACCTGTGTGGCACCTTCTTTTGGGGGAAGGCACCTGTCTTCTCTTGGATGTCCATTGAAAACATTCCTGGTCCAGAGACTGGACAATGCTGCACCCATGCAACAGCCCTGCCACTGGCTCATTTAGCTTTTGGCTCTCACAGCTGTGATGTTGTGGTCCAAGGACCCTTTTATTCGATGGTGCTTGTCCCAAATTATTTTTTAAATGCAATCACTATTTTTTTAAAAAAAAACAAAAACAAAAACCACACACACAACATTGTTGACAGCTTCGAGGATTTCCATTTCTTTTACCCAAATAACCATCCTATGCCTAAATATTGAATTTGTCCATGTCGAGATAGGCGAGGCAACAAACAGCGGCTGCTCCTCTTATAGGTGCAGTTTTCAGAGGAAGCAACGGCTTTTTTGAGAGGATACAGGTAGTCCTCAATTTACAACCCTCTGTTTAGGGTCCGTTTGAAGTTTCCCAGCTGGCTTCCAGATTCGTTAAGCCAGATTCACTTACCGACCATGTTGTTCACTCAACAACTGCCATGAATTGCTTAAACTACCGTGGCAAAAAGATCGTAAAATCGTTAAAAAAAAATCATAAATTGCTTAGCAAGGGAAAGTCTAGTCGTAAAGCGAGGACTACCTGTAGATCCAAGTGGCCATCTGACTCCACCCTGAAATCTGCTAGTTCAGAGAATGGTTTGGGGCTTTCCTTCACTTGGCATTCATATTAATCCACACGAGTTGCAAAACCCCCTTTTCCTTGCCTCTTACGCAGAGAGTGGGCGCATAGTATCGTAGCTTATTTTAACCAGCATTTAACTCCCAGGAACGACCACAGCTAACTTTAGAATAACTCCACTTAGCCATCAATTTTAATACTTTTAACTCTGCTGGAAAGCAAAAGCAGGTTGCCAGATTCATAGCTTCTTCGGTTCACCCTGAAACGGGCCTTTGTCGACTTGGGCATTGTTCTCATCCCGAGATGCCCCCCCTACCCCGGGCAGGTGGAAAGACGAGGGTGACGTAGCTGCAATTCTTATTCTTCTTCTTGTACCAAGGCCTTTCCTCCAATAAACAGGAAGTTACTGCTTATTTCGACTCAGTGTGGTATTTTCCAGTTATATTTGGGTAGAGTGGGAGATTCATACGGCATTGAATCATTTGAAGCTGGTTGACGCACAAACGTTGGCTGTTCTTTGCTAGTCTTCCATACAGAGGGAGGCCAGTACCCCCAAAACACTCACCGCGATGCCCTCAATTTTAAAACGATGCTGTTTTCCCCTCCATCACTGATCCCCCATTTTTTTTCTGTCTATAATCCTGAAGTCAAGAGCAAATGGGTCTTGCCACCAATTCAGCCACTGACCACTGGTCGTCACCCGGGAAGATCACAAATGGGGATCACGGTTGCAGAATGCGGCAACCCTTGTAAATAAACGCCGTTTGCCAAGCGCCAAATTCTGATCCCATGGCCAGGGGGAGGCTGCGATGGTTATTACATGCTGGGACCGGTGGCCCTTTCCTCGGTGCTGGTGTAACTTCAAACCGTCGCTAAACGAAATGGTTGTAATTCGAGGATTGTCGACTGTCATCCACCAACTCCCCCCCCAATCTGCTATCTCCAGTCAAGTCCAGATGCCTGGCAATTCTCAGCTGAAGCTGGCACATCTACCTGGGCAAGCTCGGTGTCTGGCGGCTTTTATTTTCTGCTCCCAGAAAACAGTGATAACAGTTGTTCCCAAAGGTGGTTTTTCACGAGGCAACTGGACTTTGTTTTTCCTTGAAAAAAGCATCTATGACCTGGATGACTGAGAATCTCCATAGACATTTAGTGATAATAGTTCCTTTTTTGGGGGGGAAGCCAAATACATTTTTGGGCCTTCCCCCGAATAACCACTCACCTCCAGAGTCCTTCCAATTGCAAAGTTTATTAACAGTGCATATGTATTTACATACAACTAACAAAGCATTCAATGGGCCTCAGTTTGCGCAGAAAAATAGGAGCGTCATTGCATGCGTGTTAGAACGATTGTCTCTGTCGGAATCCAAGAGCTGTTGTATAAAAATAACATGTGTTAGTTCCACCTAAGGCACTGCTCTATGGGCAATCATTCTAAAACCTTGGTGAGGGGGGAGACTGCCGGGACGAGAGGACAGAGACTGACAGCTGGGTGACTGAATGGGGAGGGAGGGAGTATGCGTGCCCGGAACAGTTCCACAGGGAGCCCCTGGGCTGAAAAGAGGTTGAGGAGCAGGCTTGTAGCGTAGGAAGGAGTGGGGTGGGGTGGCTCACAGTCGTTTCAAGAGAACAGTGCTTTGAAGAGGGGCATCCAGAGATTGGGAATTGGGGAGGGGGGGAGAAGAAGGACGTGTTTGCAGAAGCTTCATTCCTTCTTTTGCAAGAGAAAAACCGAGCAGCTGGGCTGAAAACGTAGCCTCAGCTTCCACGGCTGGAGGCAAGCGGTGAATGAAAGCTAGAAGGGGAAAACCTGGAGTGCAATTCGCACGGGCCAGAGAGGAACAAGCACCTTCAAAGGGTTTAATACTGGTATTGTCTTCACACGAATAATACTTACATGTATGGAGGTTCAACTTCAAACCATGGGATGGTTTCGTGGTTTGAAACACCAACCATCCAACGGGGCGGGGATGTGCCAAGCGCTCCTGCTGGGGCTGCTACGGATTTTAGGGCGGTATGGTTGTTCCCCCCCCACCCACCCAAGCCTGCAAATAAACGAGCAGGAGAGACGCTCGGCGTGGCAAACCGGACGGTGATGCTGCGGTGTGCGATAGCTTAAAAAAGCCACAGAGCGGCTTGACTGAAGGCCACCTGCTAGGACACAGGTCGATTAATTAAAAAAAAGGCAAATAAGGTCAGAGGCTCTGGCCCCCTCCAAAAGCAGGCGGCCTGGGGGTTTCTGCAGCTAGAGGCCTCAGCTAGGCTTGCTCTCCTTCCTTACACCCTGCACAAACACGCACCCTGGGTCCTAGGGCTGCTCTTCGCACCCCTCCTCCTGCTGGTGAGCCCACTGGGAGTGGTCTCCATCGAGCTCCCCTTGCAACACTGAGGAGAGAGGGAGCTGGCCCCAGAGAGACTGCATAAGGCAACAGAATGGAGCGCTGTCTGACTTTGGGGTGCCCTGTTGAGTATTGAAAATCCCCCATCCATCAGGAACAAGCCCCGGTTTTCAAGTGTTGGTAGAGAGAACCAAGGTGGGTGTTCTTTTCTTTTTAAGCTGCGAAATGATCTGACTCGTTCTAGAATGAGGTGCTGTGTTTTCAGATATTCAAGTTAAATTCGAACTAACCGTCGCTCCCCAAAACAAGCGCGAGGGGAGAGCGACAAGCGCATGACATTGGCTCTTTTTTTTTTTTAATATACATCAGATTAAACCGTGTTACCTTGCATACTGTGTCCAGGGCAAATGCTAGCTCGTTAAGTCTCTGGTACAAGCCACCTTGTTACTGGCAAACAGGGAGGAATATTAAAGACCAACTGCAACGGCCTGAACGTTTCAGCCAAAGGAGAACAATGTGTATTTGTTTTTTTTGTTTTTTTTAAAAAGCAAATCTTGTTAAAGAGGGCTGATAAAGCAACAGCGAAATGACCCCCACCCCTCTTGCCTTGCCAAACATTTCGGATGGGTGGAGGTGGGCCGTTGTGGGTGACGCCGAGAGAAACGTGGAGGTGAAGTTGAGAAGCAGCTTTTTCAGATCGAGGCCTTCCTGTCTGGAGGAGACCTGGGCATCCTCGCTTGGCTGTCAGGAGCCTTCCGGGATCGTAGTGTTCACAGTTCTGTTCAAAAGCGAGCGGGGACTATTAGTAATTTTATGCATAAAATAGGATTCCAGAGCGCGCGCACATACACACACACATACACGCTGGAAAGAAGCATCTTTAATGACAGTAATAAATGAGCCTTACCTGATGCCGCCTCGATCGATTTGGTCAAGCAATTCACACCAGCGTCCTCCTCAAAAGCCAGCTTTGGGCTTGCTGGCAACTGGGCGCCATCTCTAAAATTCTGGCCGGGCATATCAGCAGCGATGCTCTCCGAACTAAGCCTGGCCGTCTTAGGATGCATCCCAAGATCAATGATTTCTTCAAAATTCCACCCGGAAGGTTTTCCATTGAAGTTTGGGAGAAATCCGATGGAGCGATCGGCTTCATTAACGTGCAGGATTTCCGAGTTCTCAACGACCTTTCCTTTGGCTGGAATACTGGGGAGAGGAGAGGGAAGGGCAGCCTTGTCCAGTTTCTGGAGAGATTCACCCAGAGACTATCCTTACCTAGTTCAGGGTCTGTGTTTCCCCCTAAAATAAGAGAATTTCCGGGCAAAATGACACCACCAACTGCAATTAACTTGTCGCTCAATGTTTTTTCTGCGGCAGTGTGAAACGAATATCACAGGCATTAACTGAATTAATTGAAGTAAATGCCAGTTTTCGGCACAACTGTTGTAAAATGCACTCAGGTGATCGTGGGATGCTGCAGATGGTATAATTCCAAAGGGACTGAAATTCAGTCCCATCCCTGGGGGAGAAGGGGATGACAGGAGCTTTGAATCCAGTCATAGTAAGTCGCTCCAAGGACTCCATTGTAACTTTGAACAGTCACTAAGCAGCCGGTCGTAGGTTGAGGTAAGGTAAGGGGCTTACTTACTTTTAGGGATATTTTTCAGGGCTAGGGTCTCTCTTTAGGCTGGCTCTTGAGCAGCTACTACTGGCTTGTGAGCTATACAGAGATACCTGGAGAACCTTCTGGGGGAATCTGGCTGAAGAGGTTTTGCCCTCTCCCCAGGCCAGCCGTGTCCCTCCGACCTACCTGGTTTCCACCAACTGGCTGAAATACAGGGAGTGCCCATCCCCCCTCCTCTCTTCCTCTTCCTCCTGCTTATTCCCGTTGATGAAGACGTCGTCGGCTCCCATTGTCGAGCCTTCTTGAAGCAAAGTCCAATGGTGCAGGGCCTCTGAGCCGTCTTCCAGAGAGGAGTCCTCGCCCTTTGGCTTTTCTGCAAAGGGGAGTGGAAGAGCTGAGAGCTCGGGACCCCTAGTGGAGAAGGCTTCCAACTGCAGGCAGTCCCCGGCTTCCGACCACAATTGAGCCCAAAACTGTCGCTAAGTGAGATGCTAGTTAAGCGAGTTTCGCCCCATTTTACCACCTTTCTTGTTAAGTGAATCACCTCAGTTGTGAAGTGAGTAACTTGGTTGTGAAGTGAAGGTTGTGAAGGTCACAAAAGGAGATCACGTGCCCCCCCCGGGACACGGCAACTGTCATACACATAAGTCAGTGGCCGAGCATCTGAATTTTGATCACGTGACCGCAGGGAGGCTGCAGCGGTTGCATGGAAAATGATCACAAGACCCTTTTTTCAGTGCCGCTGTGACTCTGAGCAGTCACTAAATGAACTGTTGTAAGCCGGAGACCGCCTGTATTTCCAGACTACTCCCCAAGCCCCAAGAGATGAGACTGAGGTTGCAAAGGCCGGGAGAGACAACCGGGAGGCCTGGCTGGCTACAGACATGCTCCCTACCGGGCTGGTCTTGCTTTTCAAGGTCCTGCTCTTCGTCTTCTTCGACGCCCTCGTCTTCTTCGACACCCTCGTCGTCTTCCTCATTCAACTTGTCTTCGTTCTGCATTCAAGGAATGGAAAGCAATCACTTGCAAGGCAGGAGGGAAGCATCAGCTCAACCCCACGTGCTGCTAAATACGGTGGGAGCTAATTGGGGACTGCCTGGGGTGAACCCATCAAGCAACTCGATGCAATTAATACCAATTACGCTGTGCACCTTCCACAAGCTCCCAGAAACCCTTGCCCTCCCCCAAGACCTGCTTGGTGCATGTTTCCAAGGCAGATCCACACGAAGGGGGGGGGAGACTCAGGCACAAAGGCCGGGGGGGGGGGTATTTCCAGAGTAAGCAACCCTGGCAACGTTTAAGCAGCCCAGCTGCCTGTTGAGAGACAGGAAGACGCTCACTTTCGCCTCGCTCTGCTCGGCCTTCCGGGTCCTCTTCATTATTTCTTCAATTCTCTGCAGGAGAGGAACTCTGTTGAAACGGCACGATGCTGACCCCCAAACACGTCAGGGGGATTCCCAGGGCAGGTGGGCCCACCGGCTAAAATCCCTGCCCAGCAGGAATGGCAAGGAAGAGGAGGTTCTCTCCCATCAGCCGCCTGGCACAGCAAACCGGGAGAGGGGAGGGAGGCGAGCGGGAGGGAAGAGACCATAAAGGCGGGGGGGGGGGGGAGGATGGGAATAAAATTCCCTGCTGAGGGCAGGGGAGGGGAAGAGAGGGTTCCCCCAAGGGGCGACTGCCAAGTCCACCTAACCAGCTGCTTTGGCCCTGTCTGAGAGAGGGGGGGGGGAGAGGAGGAAGGGGCTCCTACCTTCTTCCTCTCCAGCCTCTCCTGCAGGTTCTGCTGCATGATCCGCTCCCGTTCTTGCCGCTGTCTCTCGGCCTCTTCGAAGGCCCTCGCCTCAGCTTCTTCCCGCTAAAAGGGCAAAGAGGAAAAACACCGTGGTGAGCTCCGTGAAAGGGACCGACCGTCACTACGGAAAAGAAGTCGTGGCAGCGAAAGAGTGTAATACAGCTGAAGCTCCCCATTCTTAACTTGGGTCCTGTGTTTGAGTCACACCACCAAGAGAGAAAACCCAGACTTCACTCATCCACTGCCGCTTGAGGTTACACTGCAATTCCCAATTCCCTGGATGGACACTGTGGCTCAACGTCTGTGTGTGAGGCTGAGAAACCCCCCCCCCCCCAGGATGCCTTGCAGAGAGCCCTGACCTGCAACTGAAGCTCCGCCTGCTTCTCCTGCTCTTCCTGCTCCCTCTGAATCCGGTCTTTCTCGGCCAGCCGCTGCAGCTCCTCTTCTTCCGCTCTCTTCAGCTCCTCCATCTCTTGGAGGGCGGCCTCCTCCTGCGCCTGCTTCTCCTGGGCTATCCTGGCCAGCTGCTCTTTCTGGATCCTAAGAGCCCAAAGCAAAGGGAGGACGGGGAAATGCTTGCTTGTGCAGGCAGGCAGGCCAGCCTTGTGCAACCTGGTTTGCAAACGCAAATGACGTCTCCACCTGCAGCCTGGAGACCTCCTATTCCCAGGCCTGGGCCTGGGCTGTGGGTGGAGCCCTGTTGTGTTTCTATGCTTTGAATCTGGGCGGATGAGTTTTGTTTCATGCTTTTCGCTGTTTTGACTGTAGATTTGGATGGGGTTCGCTGCCCAGGCTTTTGGGGTCGGTCACCATAATATGTTAAATAAACCAGCCAACCAGCTAGCCTAGCCTCTCCTATCCAAGCAACCTACCAACCAGTCAACCCAACCAATCTATCAATCCAACCAACCAGCCAGCCAGCAGAACCTCTTGCATCAAGCCTCCTTTTTAAAGAAAGAAGGCAATTTGGGAGATTTAATTGATAAGCCATTTAGCATTTTAAAAAGTTAAGGACCTGCAGTGGAGAAAAAGAAGGACCTTTTCTATTTTATTGAATGATCTAGTCTCACAGGTTCGTATCCCAGGTGCCCATGAGTGAGGTTCAGAGGACGCCGTTGGCTACTCAATCTCCCTAGAAAAACCTCGATTTAAAATCTCTCATGTGTGTAAATGCACACATTTGCAATGAGGGGAAACCTCTCTCGTTTACCTTTCTTCCTCTTCTCTTTGAAGCTTTTCCTGGTCTTCGCGCTCTCGCTGTTCCCGTGCAAGGCGGCGTTTCTCTGCCAAGATCTTTGACGCTTCTTCAGCGGTTGTGGTCCCTGGAAAAGTTTTGCCACTTGCATCTGGAAAAATAAAAATATTTTACCAATAGCAATAGCCCTTAGACTTATATATCTCTTCACAGTGCTTTACAGCCCTCTCTGAACGATTTTACAGAAACATCCTGTTGCCCCCAACAACCTGGGTCCTCATTTTACTGACCTCGGAAGGATGGAAGGCAGAGTCAACCTTGAGCCAGTCAGAATCGAACTCCTGGCAGTGGGCAGAATTAGCCTGCCACACTGCATACTAATCACTGCACCACCAGGGCTCTTATACAATTCATACAAAGGCAGTCAGAGCTGAATTTACTTTCTAATTTTTGTTTTTGTTCCATTGCTCATAACTCTGCTCTGTTCAGAATTAAGTCTGATTTACACAGGATGGGGAGGAGAAAACTTTGGCGCATGTATCCCAGCCCCCCTCCTCAAATTTTTGTCTTTTGTGGGTAGGCAACACAGTCTCCTTGCTGGCCAGGGGATCTGAACGTAAACAAACAAGCACATCTTTGTCTGCTGAAAGAGAAGGCAGGGATAAAGGCTTTCCAACAACACCAAGTTCCACATCTGTAGCCTCACACAAAGTTTGATGGTATGAGAATAACCAAGTTGAATAATCCAATTTTAAGAGTTTAAAGTTCTAGGCTCCCAGGTAGGTTTCTTTCACTGCAAGAATTTAAATTCCTTCAAAATAAGGAATTATTTCAAAATAAGAAAAGCATGACAATGGGTTTTAAAATGTGGTGAGTTTCACTCCCTGAAGAGAAGACCACTCTGGCTATTAGAGATGTTATTAGAAGCAGTTCTAGCCACAAAGAGATTTATTGGGTGTGATAGCTATTTTGCTGTTCTCTCAGGTTTTCAAAAATTCACCTCCTGGCACAGAACACATTTACTTGGAAAAACACCCCACCAATTTAAATGGATAATTTAGGAAAAGCAAATCCAAGGCTTGACCTGGGTGGGTTTTGAGGGTTTATTTTTTATTTTTTTCTACAAATATTAAGTCCCCTGGGCTGAAGAGAAAAATAAATATTCAATCTTGGAGAATTTACTGGAGGATTCTATGCTCTGTGGCAGTGTTTTTCAACCTTGGCAACTTTAACATCGGTGGACTTCAACTCCCAGAATTCCCCAGCCAGCCCTCCACAAAGCAGACTATCTCTGTGGCAATAAATAAATACAATTCCACATCATCAATTAAAGACCTTTCCATTCATTCTTTACAGGTTTTATGTGAAGCTCTTTTGTTCCAGGACTCCAAATACGAATAACACGCGCAAACCCACATACAAACACGCACACACACACTGGACAAATTAAAAAGCCACAGGTTAATCATTTGGTAGAAAGTACAAATGTCCTTACAAGGATTGAAACGATTCTTAAATTCTCCAGATTTCCCTTGAGATAAATAAAGATCACCCTGAGGTGTTTAGTATTTATATACCCTTGTTAGTTTACCTTAAAAAAAAAAAAGACTGCTCTACTATATTGCAAGAGACCATTTATTGCCAAAAAGGAGATACTCCAATAAATAAATAAATAAATAGAAAGACAGACAGATAGATAGATAGATATCTAGCTAGGGAGATTCCCCTCCTAGCTCCGTTTTTGCCATCCTGTGAGATATTCATCAGAGATCAACTTCTCTGGATGGAGAGAATGGCATGTATTAAGGCGATGGGTCAAATGTTCCTTTGTAACCTGTAGCCCTAGGGTGAAGCTGGGGGCTGACGACAGGGGAATGGGTGGGGGAAAAACCCCTCTGAAGATTGTGCCTTCAAAGCAGACATAAATGGAGCCTGAACTGGGCATGAGCAGAACTGCTAAGCCTTTGCTTGGGTTAATCTGAGTCTTCCTGCTCATTCTGGGAGGAATAGCCAGGGATGGGAAGGGCCCCAAAGTGGTAGGAGAGGTTAGCCAGGTGAGTGTTCAGCACCCTGAGCTCCTGGCTGATGGTGTCCACGCTGTACCGCATGGTCTGGAAGGTGTGCAGCAGCTTATTCAGGACGTAGGGGTCGGTGGCGACCGTCATGGGCCGCTGGGCTGGGCTCCTCCTGCAGAAAGGAGGGGGAGGTGGCAGCCGGAAGGGCGAGCTGGGCCGGCGAGGACACGGGAAGCTAATACACCGGACTGGGCTGAGGCCGGCTGCATCGCTGTGCCTGCTGGCCCCCAACACGAAGTTAGGGGGGAAGCCCTTGGCGGACAGAGGACGCCCCAAGTTTGGTGTGCTAGGAACGCAAGGCGGGAAGACGCAGGGGGAAGTCCCCCGGCCCGGGAGGTCAGCCTGGGAAGGGCTGGGGCTGGCGCCACTCAAGGAGTAAGAGGAGACCCCCAGGCGCGCCAGGGGATCGTATCCGAAAAGCATCCTTCTGCCGAGAGAGGAGGCCGGCGGGCAATCCTGAGAGCAGAAAGATGGCGCAGCAGGAGACGAGGGACTGAAGACACAAGGTGGCAACTCAGGAAGGAATGTGAAGGAGGCCGCTGACTCTGCAAAGGAAAAGATGGGGGGCTGAAGCCGGGGGCAGCGGAGGCTGCCCATGCGCACTTCGAAGGCTTAGCTCTCTCTATGGGGCTGGACCTATAAGCACTAAGGGGAGGGGGGACAAGCAGGCTCCAACTGCCAGGAACGGATCCCAGGCCCCCTTAAAGCTTATGGCTTACAGCTACAATTGAGCCCCATCTGTTGCCAAGTGAGAGATATGTTGAATTTTGCCCCATCTTACGACCCTTTTTTGCCACAGTTCTTAAGTGAATCACTGCAGTTGTTAAGTTTGTAAGCGGTTAGAATGTGTTATCGCAGGCTCACTCTGCCAACTGCCAAGGGTTCAATCCTGAGCAGCTCAAGGTTGACTCAGCCTTCCATCCTTCCGAGGTCGGTAAAATGAGGAGCCAGATTGTTTGGGGGGGGGCAAGAAACTGACTCTGTAAACCACTTAGAGAGGGCTATGAAGCCCTGTGAAGCAGTAGATAAGTCTAACTGCTGTTGCTATTGCTAGTAATCTGGTTGTAAGTGAACCCGGCTTCCCCCTTGACTTTGTTCGTCAGAAGGTCGGAAAAGGGCATCACGTGACCCAGGGACACTGCGACCGTCGTAAATATGAATCAGTTGTCAAGTGTCTAAATGTAAATCATGTGACCATTGGGGATGCTACAACAGCTACAAGAGTGAAAAATGGTTGTAAGTCCCTTTTTTCAGTGTCGCTGTACCTCTGAACAGTCACTAAACGAACTCAAGGGCTCCCTGTAAGGCAGGGGGAGCAACTGCTAACCAAGCCACCCACTCCCCTGGAGCTCTTTGTGGAGGGATCCCGCCAGGGGTGCCTGGATCAGTCCCCGTTTTTCTCTCCCAGCTTCCCCAGGGAGGCCGGGGCTGAGCACTGCTGCCTCCTTACAGGACAGGACAGAAAATGGGAGAGGTGCAGGATGGACGTGATTGGGCGATGCTGGCTGGGGAATTCTGGGAGTTGAAGTCCACCTATCTTAAAGTGGCCAAAGTTGAGAGACCCTATTATTGAGCGCCATGTGTGAAACAGACCGGCCCCGAGACAGATTTGGTAACGGTGACAGGGGTCACCCTTTTAAAAGAAATTTCTATTGACATATTTATTTTATATTTCACATTCCTAAATCACCCACCTCCCTCAAAGAGAGACCCTGGGCGATGTACAACAAACCATCGAACAGTATATAAAAATTAAAATGTTAACCTTTTAGAATTTATTTTAAAAAATATCTCTAAACAGCTCTCCTTACCTTCTTTGGTTTTAGGAGGACCCGCAGGCGGCTCTTTCTCTGAGGGGGGCCCAGCAGCCCCCTGCTCCTGGGGGGCCGCGTCGTTGGCTTTGCTCTCCTCGTCGCTTTTCTTTTTGGTAACGCCGAGGACGTTCGGGGTGAGCGGCAGGCGCTGAATCGGCGCCAGTTTAGAGGCCATCATGGGAGAAGATTGCCGCTGCCGCGAGACGTTCGGGGAAGAGGGCGGTGGTCTGCGCCTGCCGAGAAAGGGGGACCGATTAGGAGGAGCTGTACGGCCAAAGAAGGCCTTGACCCAGTGCTTGCTTGACCCTTAATAAACTGCCTTCACAGCTGGTCCTGTAAACTCACTTAACAAACATCTCACTTCACAACCACCTGCCTTTGAAGTTTTGGCCTCAATTGTGGTCATAAGTCAAGGACTGCCTGTATTTACAAGGCTTGCACAGTCCTGAAGTCGTGTGATGGCCATTTGGTCAAGCAAATCAATGCGGGAAGCTAGATTCATTTAAGGACTGCATGGTTCACTTAACAGTTGTTAAAAAAAAAAAGGTCAGGAAATCAGTTGCAACACACTTAACCAGCTGGCTTTGCAACCCCAATACTGTCGTGGTCCCAATTGTGATTATAAATCCGAGCCATTTTTCTGAACCAGCTTTGGAAGCCTGGTGGTCCCCTGACCTACTGGAAGGAGGATGGGAATTCCTAGCAGGAAGGCAGCGTGTTGGGAAAGCCGGTTGTATTTATTTTTACTACATTTATCTTGATTTCTGTAGCTGTCCCTCTCAGCAAAAGAGTTCTAAAGTCCTTCTGGTCTTTAGGGAGAGGACAGAGATCAAGAAGAAGAGAGCTGGTTTTATCCCGAGCACAATGGAGGAAGAGCGGAGATTTTGAACTGGATAGAAACCTTATTGTTGCTGGAGACGGAGGGAGTTTTCCCGCGTTCCCGGGTGAGACGGAGCGCCTGGAACTCGGCAGAGAGGGTGAAGGAGCTCGCTTCCTTGATGAAGACGACGGGGGCTGCTTGGCTGGCTCAATTTTCTTGGGGAAAAAAAAGAGAGGGGGGGGGGGGAGGGAGACTGTCACATCACTGGTTTTCTCCGAGAGAGACTTTGCAGAGCTTCAGCTAAATAAATAAATTGATGAGGCTGTTCTAGCAACAGCCCTTCTCTGTTGGCAGAAAAATCTCCTTCTCATCCAATATGGTGAAAAACAGGACCCATGTCTTTTAATTCACATTTATAGGGAGGCGAAGGGGGGATACAAGTTCCAAACTATCTGAAAAATACATTGGTCAGAAACTGAATTATTGCTTTCGAAAGAGGTGGAATATGGCTTCTCAAACCACTGCAATATTCATCATTTAAGCGACCACATAAATGCCTGAAATGTTACAAACAAGACACCCCCTCAAATACTTCAATAGTACCCTCTTATATCATCACTACAACTGCTACGTCACAAAAGCAGAGGGACAAACTGAAGCCATCCTATCAAAAGAACTGGTGGGTGGGGAAGAGGGTCCATTATCCGTGGGGCTCGTGCTTGTGCTATGACTGAAGCTGAAATCAGCAGCCAGAACCTCAAAAGGTAGACTTACCTGTGCAGATTCCGAGGAGACGTTTTCGGATAAGCAAGCAGCCCCCTTCAATCGGTCTGTGCTGCGACTACGTAATGGCACTTTGGGGAGGTGGGCTGGGAAGCTGGTGGAAGCTGAACAAGGACAGAGGGAAGAATCTATCAACAGCAGAGAATATTTGCAGCTCAGGGTAGAGCTGTGGGGTCCTTGTTGCTCTCTTCAGCTTGGTGGTTTTCTTGCAGACGTTTCATTGCCCAAACTAGGTAACATTATCAGTGCTAGAATCCCAGTCCCTTCCAGCACTGATGATGTCACCTAGTTAGGTAATGAGATGTCTGCAAGAAAACCACCAAGCTGAGAGAATACCAAGGACCCTACAGTCCTCTTCCTCCTTCCTCCCTTCTCCTCTTCCTCTTTCTCCTCCTTCACAAACCCCATTCCCTTCTAGCACCGATGATGTTACCCAGTTGGGTCATGAAACATCTGCAAGTAAACCACTAAGCTCAAAGACCAACAAGGACCCCATAGAATCTATCAAGTCAAGAAGCTGATAGGTCGCATAATTGCCATAGTTGCCCACGCTTGATTTAAGGTCTTTACAGGTACACGCAAAGAAGCATTTCCAGCTGGCTGCTCTTGAAAGCATCTCCTGGGACACAAATTCCAGGCTGAAAGCAGACCAGCACCCCCTGCCATCTGCCTGCAATCTTCAAAACTCCTGATGGGGAGGTGGTCCTGCAAGGAGGGGCAATTCAGGATAGTTGATATCTGGGGAGGGGTGGTTATTGGCAAAACTGATTCCCTCCCCTTCATCCCACTCCCACTGGTTGCAAAACACTCCACAAGGCAAGGTAGACCAGCAGATCCCATCTGGTTCCGCTCCTAAACAACCCCCAGCGACGCTGCCCTGCTGAATGGCTCCAGGCTGTTACCTGCGGGATCTTTGCCCTCAGCAGCAGACAAGGTGGCTGCGCTCTTACTCCTGGCTAGAGAGGCCTGGGTGGGGGCGAGCAGGCGACTGACGGAGGCGTTCTCCAAGGGGCTGACCAAACGGCGAGCTGGAGGGCGGGAAGCAACGAAGGAGGAGTCAACAAGAAGTCCCCCCAGGAGATGGAGGACCTTTCGGATGGAAGGCTGTCCACTCCAGGGAGAAGGCTTAGGACCTGCCTCATCATCAACACTTGTGGGCACATAAATTTAACAAATAAAAATAGGACCCAAATTCCAGAGCTAATAGCAGCCTGCTGAAGCCTAGATGTGCTTGTCAAAATCAGAAGTCTGATAGCTCCTTAGCAACTAACCTAGTCAGAAAAAGCGCGACAGGATTTCTGATCTCTTGAAACCAGAGACTAACTTGGTCTCTCTCTCTCTCTCTCTGCCCTATGCATCTCACAAGGTTGTTCTTGTGGGGAAAAGAGGAGGAGGAAAGAGTACCAGGTATGCTTGCTGCCCTGAGTTAATTACAAAAAGAAGAAAGGCGGGATCAAAATAAATAAAATGAGACACTGCAAAGAACAGCACACTTGCCAAGAACTGCCTACAAGGCACAAAGTCTTATTAAAAAGGGGAAAAAAAAATAGAATTGAGAGGCAATGCCAGGTATTGTCCAAGAGGCAGGAGGAGTCAAGGGGAAGACCTGGCGGTCCACACGGACTGCCCCCAACAACTGGGAAGGAAGGAAGGAAGGAAGGAAAGCAGCCAGTGAGGCTGACAGCGGGAACCAGTGTGCTTGATCTGGGCTAGCTATACAATTTGTGTATATAAAATCACACCCTCCCTTTTCCTCTCTCTCTCTCTCACTCACTCTCTCACACACAAAATCCCTGGAAGGAGCATGCCAAGAAAACTCTTAGCTACCTTTTTCTTCTTTCTGCACGTTTTCTACCTCGGGAAGTTTACTGCTCACCCTACTGAGCGATGAACTCCTCTTCTTTTCTGGTTCTCCTAGAGCCCAAACAAACGGATGATTTTCAAGATGCGCTCAGGACGACTTAGGTATATACAATTTCAGGAGAGAAGTCTTTCGCCGGACTGAATGAAAGCAGCAATCCCGGCTTCCAACATACTTGTTCCACTTCCCAATTAAAAGCTTTAAAAAAATGCAGTCTCCCCTTCTTGGATAGATTATTCTCAAGAACCAAAGGGATAAAAAGGGGCTAATTTAAATCAACACTCTCCAGTGTCTTACGGTATGGGCAGTTCTCGTCTTACGACCACGACTGAGCCCAAAATTTCCGCTGAGTTTTGCTCCATTTTATGACCTTTATTTGCCCAGATGTTTAGTGAATCACTGCGGTTGCTAAATGAATCTTGCGGTCATTAAGCAAATCTAACTTTCCCCCACTGACTTTGCTTGTTGTAAATCAGCTGGGAAGCTCACACATGGCAATCAGATGGCTCTCTGACAGTGCAACCATCATAAATACATGTCAGTTGCCAAGTGTCCCAATTTTGATCATGTGAATTCTGGGAACAGAAGTCCACACATCTGAAAGCTGTGAAGGTTTAGAAACCCTGGTTTATGCAAACCACAAGCTTTAACCTGGGTGAAACCCAAGGCATAGATGCAGTGATGAGATCACCAGACCCAAATGCAGGCTTCTGTATTATAACTGTCTGTTTTCTTCCTGATGATTTGTAAAGGAGCTTAATATATATATATATATATATATATATAAAATCTAGTCAAAACCAAATAGAAACCTATGGAAACTTTGAATGGTTTTACAGAATAATTTTTAAGCCACTTGTACAGGTTGGGCACAACTAAGATGCAGAAATAGAATTCTCTATTAATCCTTCCTGTGGAAGCGAATATTCCTCTGCATGTTTCTATTTATTTTGATAATCCTGTTTATATATAAATGAAATAATTCTCATTAGCTTTTTTTCTCAAAATTCTCATTTGCTGCACCTTTTTGCTCTGCTTGTAAAGCGTTGGCTAGTCCTTGCTCAGAACTCAGAGAACTTTTGTTATTCAGCCTGTTTAGGGAAGAGCTCCTTTTAGCTGTTCCTGCAAGGATAAAAAAAAAAAAATATGGATTTGTTAGCTTGGCAAACATCAACAGGCTGCATCAATGAAGGAGAGTCTTAAGACGGATAGAGGCTAATCCCTCTACTCATTGGGAATTAGAGTCCTGATGACCCCACTGATATCTGAAGCATGAAGCCCTTTAATTAATCCAGAGAGCAGTTAATTCCTAGGTTTTGATTATGGAAATTCATTTAGCTCAGCCAATAAAAAGGGTGCTGACTGTAAGATTCGATGCAGCACTACGGGCCACGAGGTTCATAAAATCTCTTTTTTATTAACATAGGCTTGATGTGCTGTGACTGTGCCAGATACTAGACCAATTTCTCACTATTGTATGTACAGCTGGGAAACATTTTGGTCTAAATCACACCTTCCAAGAAGCACAGGGAATTTATACATCTTCGGGGCAAAACAAGCACCATACCACACCACAGCAGTGAGCCAGGTCTGAAGTGGGTGGGAATAGACTCCTTCTCCTCCCATGTTACAACCAGGTTAGATCAGGGTTTCCTGAACTTTAATGGTGAAGCAGGAAGGGAACTGAGAAATGGGATGCTTCAGCAGAGACATCTGAGCTACTCTCCCTCTAACCCATTAAGTTTCCTCCAGTTCTTGGAGAAACGCTGACATAGACAGAGAGGGGGATACTGCATGCTATCGAAACATGCCAGGATGAAACTGCTCTCAAGTTACTCCACTTCAGCTTCGCACGTGCGAAGATGGGCGGGCAAAGAAAGCCACGGATGCTGCCCTTTGATTTCAAACAGGCAGCCCAGATTGGGAGCAGGGATCGCCACCGTTTTATCAGAAAGCGGCCTGCTTTGAGATCAGAGGAAGCAGAGCAGGGGGATTGGGAGAGCTGAAGGGGAGAGGGGGGTCTGTGAAATCACGACTGGCTCTCTGAATCTGAAGGTGACGTGGGAGGCTCTGGGAAGGGTATACCACACTTTCTTCTCTCCTAAGAGACGCCATATCCAGCAACCGTTGGGCTGGAGGTGCGTCGGGCTCACTGGATTAAAGAAATGGGTAGAAGGGATATAAGGGCAACTTTAGTTGGTCCCACAGCTGCAAAGGAAGGATGGTGGGTCTGGAGCCTGCTTTAGGGTCCGCTCCTTACCTATGCTGGGAGAATTGAGAAGTGCTGCCGAGGACGAGAGGCGCTTGTGGAGGGCCGGGTCAGGCTGTTTGAGGTTCAGGGCGGACGTAGAGCGCTTGTTGACTGAAGGAACAAAAAGTATTTAAGTATTCTCTCTTCTGACACAGCGTTCTTTGCCAGGAGATTGGTAGATAGATGGACAGATAATGGACAGAGAGGCCAGCAGGTATTGCAGTGCTTCTGAATGTCTTAAGTTGTGATGAATGGCAAGGCGACTTTAACACACAGAAGTCTCTCCTAGTTTGCAAGCTTTGTTAAATGTTCCTAGCAGGGATACGGGCTAGATCAGAGGCAGGCAACTCCGTGTTTCCAGGGGTTTTAGGCAATCACTTACAGATAGTCCTAAGACTTAGGATTCTTTGCTTAATGACACTTCAAAGTTACGGCAGCCCCAGGAAAAGTGCCTTACGATCTGTGACCGCAATTTAGGTGCTTGGCAACCGGCTTGTATTTGCAGCCAGCTGCAACGTCCTGCCATCACTTGATTTGTGTTTTGTAAATTTTTTCCCAGTCTCTAGAAGAAGAAAAAAAGTCCATTGGGGAAATTGGTTTTGCTTAACCACCAGACCTGCGTAAAGGTTGTGATAACTTGCTTCTGAGCGTGGTTAAAAGGGTGGCAAAATTGGGTCTGGCCATGTGATGACTCGACTTATGACCATGCCAACTAACGACTGAAATTCTAGTCTCAACTGTGGTCGTAAGTCAAGGATAACTGGTAGCTGTGTGTTAATTAGGATCTGTAAAAAAAGCATTAGGGTTTCCCAGTCCTAGACTAGAGTTTATATAGAATAGAATAGAATAGAATCTGGAAGGGACCTTGGAGGTCTTCTAGTCCAGCCCCTGCTCGAGCAGGAGAACCTATACTATTTCAGACAAGTGACTGTTTAGTCTCTTCTTAAAAAGAGAAAGGATAGAAAAGATATTTTCTTTTGGAAGACTAGATTGCCTGATTATCAAAAGAACTGAAGAGCAAGGCTCTTTTCTATTAAATTATCCTTTAAAATTGTATACAATTATCTTTTTAGAACAAATAAACAAGCATCACGGCACAAAGACAGCAGGAAATCTAAACACGGCACCACACGAACATTTTAAAGACAAAGCTGTAAATCCATTAGTGGATAAACCAGCCATCAACACAGAGAGGTCAGGTCCGACGGATCCTTCCTACAGACTTGCAGCACGGAGCATAATTGAATAAAAGGACATCCTCACTGAAAAAAGAAGACATCCAGAATGTCTCTGTGGCAAACTGAACATCTGAGTACTGCAGCAAAGCAACCAGCTATGGGTTGTTGGTTTTTTTGTAATACGAGAGTAGCAGTAGCAGCAAACTTCTTCTAAAATTGCCTATTCTGAAATTCTCCAATCAAAGGATGCCCGGGGTGGGTAAGTTAATTAAAATAAAAGCAGGCAAGCAGGCAGATCATTCCAAGGGAACCCACCTTCAGCTACAGCTGGTGCTTCTGTGGAAGAAAAAAAAATGGATAGGCTCATGTCACAAATCTATCATAGCTCCACTGATCTATCACAGCTCTCTTCAAAGAAAGAGATAAGAGATTGGGCTCTCGGTCTTCTTAAATGACTAGCAACTGGAGGAAAGTTAATTGTCCTGACTTTTAAGAATCATTTGTTATTCTAGAGTGTTTGACCTTTAATTCAATTCCTTCCAGTGTGCCAAGACCAAACCTCTATCTCAGCATTCCCCAATCCAACAGAAAAGAATATTTGTAGCTCAAGGTTAAACTGTGGGATCCTCGGCCCTCTCTGAGCTTGGTTTTCTTGCAGACGTTTTATGATCCAGGTAGATTACATCATCAATGCTAGTTTGCAAACCCCCTTCTAGCACTGATGTCACCTAGTTTGGTAGTGAAATGTCTGCAAGAAAATAACCTCAGAAGGACCTCACAGTCCTCCTCCTTACAAACCCCATCCCCTTCTAGCACTGATGATGTTACCTAATTGGGTCATGAAACATCTGCAAGAAAATAACCCAACTCTGAGAGCACCAGGGACCCCACAGCTCCCCAACCTGACATTCTCAAAACATGTTAGGATCACAATCCTAGAGTGTTCCAGGTAGACACACTATTGTTGAGTCCTTGGGACCCACCTGCCTTCCCACTGGAGTCTGTCACCGAGCCGCTCCACGACCATCGTTTCTGCCGTGTATCCAGCCGCTGGCTGCGTTCCAATGTTCGATGCACCACAGCTTCGTAATGCACCTGTAGATCAAACCATCCTGGGGATTAGGTGGCAAGACCTAGTGCTGCCTGTGGGAGAGCAGACCATCTTTCCTCCAGGAGCTGATTATTTACCAGCTTTTACTTTATGTCACTAATTAGAATCCAAGACAAGCTGGAGACCGGAGACCCTGATTAGCCCTAATCTTGGCGATAAACAGGATTTGTGCTAAGATGCACATGTTCAGCTATTAGGTGGCAGGAGGGCTCCACCGATTACCAAACCTCTGTTTTCTATAATATATGTTTCTCAAGCTTGGCAATTTTAAGATGTTTGGACCAGCTCCATGCTGGCTGGGGAATTCTGGGAGTTGAAGTCCGAACATCTTAAAATTGCCAAGCTTGAGAAACATTGGCATAATTTCTCTCACATTAGTGCCATACAACGATTCCATATATGAGTTTATTCTCCTCAGTCTGGCAAGATTATTACTAGCAGGTGCATTTGGGGGAATTTTACTTCAAAATGCAGACCTGCCCAGACTTCTTAATGATTCAGAAGACTCTCACACAAAAATCTGAGAGTTGGGAAAAGCATTTGGCTAATTCAATCCCAAATCAGATGGCCTTCCACTTTACAGGACCCTTCTGTGCCGAGTGAAAAGAATTCAGGGAGAAATTTTTGGCCGCTAAGTTTTTAGAAAATTCCACCGATTGGCAGAGGAAAGAAAATACGGTTTGCAACCCTGGATGCAAGCCAAACACGATAAGACACAGGAAATTTCTGAACGGCTGGCACAGGATTCCCTCTCTTCCATTTGCTTGCAAACCTTCCCTTGGCCAGGCAAGTAATTGCTCACACTGCTGCATTTTTGTTGTCATGTCAGTGGAAACTTTTAGTCAGCTAATATGACCAAGAACCACAAGCTGCCTAATATTGCCTCTTGCCAAACACTCTTCTTCAAGGACTAAGTGATGACTTAAAATCATCCACGCAAATGCCGGACAAGTGGGAACGGTTCCATTCAAACCAGGGAAAAGGCTTTTGAGTGCTCCCTCGCGGCTGCACAAACACTGCAAACGGCAGAATACAGGCAGTCCTCAACTTAGGAGCACAATCGGGCCCCAAATTTAGGTTGTTAAGTGAGAAATTTGTTCAGTGATTTTGGCCTCGTTTTACAACTTTTCTTGCCATATTTGTTAAATTAGTAGCACAGCCATTAAGGGCATCTGGTTTTCCCATTGATGCTGCTATTCAGAAGGGAATCACATGACCCTGGGACACTGCGACCGTCATACAATGTGAGCCAGATCCCGAGGGTCTGAATGTAAATCACGTGACCCTGGGGATGTTACAATGGTCGTAAGTGTGGAAAAATGGTCATAAGCCACTTTTTTCAGGGCCGCTGTAATTTCAAACTGTCACTAAACGAACTGCTGTAAGCCAAGGACTATCTGTAAGGGAAACTGATACAAATGTAGAAGGCAACAGGCTGGCCCAGAAAATGAGGACACTGAGGCCACAGTCTCATTAATTGTCCCAGCTACAAGCTCAAGGCCAGGGCTGACCCTCCTCCCTCAGAAGCACCAACGTTAAGCTGTACAGTACTTTTTCCTCTTCAATCTTCTGTTTTCGCTTCTGCTCCACCGCAGCTCTTCTCTGTTGCTCTTTCAGCTTCTGCTCCCTCAGCCGCTTCTGCTTCTCTTCCATTTGCTTCTCGTACTGCAGCTTCGCTTTCTTCTCCTTCTCCAGGATCTGTGTTTCTTTGGCAGCTGCAAATTCCACCAAACAGTACAGAAAAGTGAAACACTATGGAACCCGGAAAAGGGGAGAGGGGAGACATGTTTTGCTGGCAATTGCAAAAATCCCAGAGTTTTATAGAATCCGGAGAGAGAAAGAGAGTATCACATCATCAGATTTTGTATGTTCGACCAACTCCATCTGGAGCGAAGCCTTGCCAGAATCCATCTGCTTGAGGTCAAGGAAAAAAACGAGAAAAGAGGAAGAATCAAGCACCTCATTTTATGCCAATGGTGCACTTTTACTACAACCCAAAACCTCGCATCCTGACAAGTGCCTTTCGTGCAGAACAATAGAAAGGAACCGGGATGGAGTCATGCAAAACCGAAGAAGCGAGAACTCAAACTGTCTGGATCTACTCTCACTTCCTTGAAGGAAGGTGATAAAATCCCTGAATGGATTCTGGCCTCTGGGTTCCAAGCTTTGTTAACCTTCCATAAACCTGTAAGTATCACAGAGGCTGGCTTGTGTGCTTGGTCTATAGACAAAGAATTAACTACCATGGCCTGCCACGGTCTTAGGTGAGAAAAACAGTCATAAGTGACTTTGAACGGTCACTAAAACGCACTGCACGCAGAAGCTGGACTGACTAGGATCCTACCATGCTGTTTCTCCCGCTCTTCCCTACGTTCCCGAGCAAGTCTCTGACGTTCTTCTGATTTCAAGAGAGAACCATCCAGCACTGTTAAAGAGAAAAAATTCAAAGGCTTTGAACATTTGATTTGGAGAAACAAGGGACCAATTCCTACAAAACACACACACACACATATCTAACATCCACACACAAGGACAGCACATTCATGTTCAAGATACATACTGGTGCTCAATACGAATTTCCTCACTGCAGGAAATCTTAACTCAAGTTATTTTCTTGCATTACACATCACCTGCACCAGTATAGCTATTTCCTGGGTTGCAAGGGGAGGCTTTTGCTGGCCTGGCACTACAGACTTTCATTCATCTAATTTCTGATTTTTTTGAAAATAAGAACGGCATATAAAAGTTTTGAGCAAATATGAACTGCAGGCAAAGAACTGCTCCCAAGATCAAAATACAGAACAGTCATACGAAAAATACTGATTTTTTACCTGGTTTTGCTTTTGTGCTTATTGGGGCCTGGAGTGAAACAGTGCTAACACCACCTTGGTTTCTTCTTTCTTCGGCTAATGCTTGAGCTGCAGCAACTGTTAAGAAAAATACCACGCTTGGTTGAAACAAATCCATCATTCACACAATTTTTGTCGTTTGGATTACACTACTCAAATCTGATTTTTGCACAGGAAACTCTCCCCAAATAAACAGTTTGTGGCTGGCTCAGGAATTCTGGGAATTGAAGTCCACGAGTCATAAAAGAGCCGAGATTGCCTACCTCTGGTCTTGACCAAAAACTTAAGACAATCATATAGCAACCTGGTTCCTTTTAAACAGTAGCTCTGGAATCACTGAATGTATCACAATATCTATTTACTACATATGTACACCCACCTATCCTTTTTTTGCTTCTGTGTCAGCAGGAAGAAAAGCCAATAGTTCTTTTTGGGAATTTGCCACAAATTCTGCATTTGTATTGTATTATGTACAGAAACGTTCAGGACTAAAAGCCTTGTGTGGGCAATTGTGCAGTGGATCACACTCAAAAAAATCCCCCTATGCAATTATGAAGAGCAATGAACTGAGTTCAAGGTCCATCTGTTTTTAGGTTCCTATTTGAAATCAAGCATTCCAACTTCGCTCCCAGAATATAGTCTAAACTTGAAACAGCTGTATAACACTGGAAAATTAAACTACAAGTTTCAATCAATTAAGAGAGGTGGTAGTAATGGACGAGGGAGATATGCAAGCAGAGTGGAAAAATACTGTTTGAAATTTTGAGGATCCAGCAACATGGAGCAAATAATCACAGACAGACTGATTGCTGTTTCTCCTAGATTTTCACATTTGCCAAGTAACTTGAGAGTTTAAGTCAAGGTTGTCCAACCTTGGCAACTTCAAGATTTGTGGACTTGCAACTTCCAGAATTCCCCAGCCAGCATTCTGGGGAATTCTGGGAGTTGAAGTCCACAGGTCTGAAAGTTGCCAAGGCTGGACAGCACTGCTTTAAGTGAACTCCCTTTCCAGATTTGCCTTTGTCCAGAGGAGGAAATTCATTAAACTTCTGTTAAAACAAAGAGAGGGGAAGTAGAACAGCTAGCATTTTCATACCAAGTTCCTTTGTGGAGGCACAACAGAGCAAAAAATATTCAAAGGTAACTCCGGAGACCTGCTAAGACAATACTGCTTGTTTGAAGAGACCAAAATAAGCCAAACCAAAATAAATCTTGTTCACAAGACTTCCTTAAAAGTCTACAAAGTGATTGCATTATTGCAATTCACAATACTGGACATAGAGATCTATTAATGTGAGCTAAACAAAAGGTTCGCTATGCAAATCCAATAAAAGTCTTGTGAAATGCACTATATCCACTCACAGTCATTCAGCTTTCGTGTATTTGATGCAAAATTGTAAAATGCACCCATATTAAAATGTCAAGTCTCAACTCTCTGAACTTAACCAAGATTACACACAACATGACCTTAGTTTTAATTCACAACATTAACTGCAAAGACTTGCTGGAACCTCATTCTTAACCATGCGTGCAGGCAGTCAATTAATGTGCAATGCTATAATGGATCAACTCTCAGTTATTGTCTCCATCCAATGACATACAGCCAAATCCATTCTCAAGTTTTGCCAGGTAAGACATGTTCAATTATCTTTGGAGATCTGTAGCACCACGGCACAGATGCTGGATTAGGACCAGGGTGATCTAGATCTGCGTTCACTTCTAGCCACAAAAACTCACTGGGTGATTTGGGGCCAGCCACTTTCAACACACACACACACACACCCCATAGTCACAATATTGTAATAGGGGAAGGAACTGCTATATATATACTACTTGGATTGCCTGAATGAAAGGGGGTATATAAACCTAATAAACAAATGTCCCCCAGCTAAACGTGCCCTCAAATTACATCAAGAACAAAGCAACCCGGACATTTTCTGAAAACAAGGATTTTTTTTATTTCTTGTGTGTTCCTGAGATGCAATATTTGCTTCCTGTTTTCACGCTCCTGGCTTCCTTTTCATAATTCTCTCACTTTGTTTTATTTCCCTGAGCTCAGGGTGTGGAAGTGGGCTCTCTTCCTCTCACCCCACCTATAGGAAAACCCACTGAAACCTTTTTCTAAGTGAGGTTTGTTCTCGAGTTTCCAGGCACACCATTGCTGAATGTGCCTGGCTCCACTTCCTACCCCAACCCCCAAACCCTGTGACAATAGAGCCCAGCACTGCATATCACAACGGACACCAGTCCACTCTGCAGCCGCAACTCCATCTCTCCCGAGAGACTCAAGAATGCTTCTATTATGTAGAATGTATTTTAACCCATGATCCTCTTGTTTCTTGATAAGCCAGTTTCCCCTTATGTCTCTGATCAGGCATTATAACATTACAGCTCATAAGGCCCTGTGACTGCGGTTTAATTTTTTGTGCTACTTCTTCAAGAATGATGATGAAATAGGAATATCTATACTGAGACATAATTATAGACCCATTAGACACGGGTGAGTCTCTCATGTGACCAGGCAGGGGATCCAGCTGAACATTTATTCACAATTTAACAGGGGCTATTTATTAAAGAAAGATAAAATAATTGTTCTTGGTTAGCTGCATTGTACAACATACAATTACCTCTCCTTACGTTTGTAAACCATTTTCTAGAATCTTTTGCAGTTTGCTTGCAATCCGTGGCTTGCAGAATTAATAAATCTCAGCAATGGAATAAACATTGCATCTGCTTCAATTCCATCCTACAGGAATAAGCAGGAACCGGTATGAGAGTCAAAAGGCTCTACCATATATTACTTCACCAACTCACTCTATGACTATTAATAAAATTAAAAGATCCCAGAATAACCAAGCCCGAACTTTTTCATCATGTGCAGTTTCGCTGAAGACTTCATGAAAATAATATCACTCTCCATTTCTCACAGGAGATGCAAAAAAAGAGAGTCATTTTTCCAATTTGTTGTCCGTTGCCAAGTCTTTCTAGACTTGAAAGGGAAGGGGTGGACTTGATTTAAATCTGAAGACAGGAATAAAACCACAATCGAGGCACAGCCATCTGCTCTTAAGACTGAGCTCCCTGTTTGGATGATGGGAATAAACCTGAAACCTTAATTCAATTAGGGCTAAGAGCAAGTCCAAAGCAGTAACAGCCTTTTCCATCGCACAGTTAACAAGTACTACAGCCACATTAATAACCTGATCAGAAGGCATAACGGTAGCCTTAATGAAAAAGCCCCCTCCCAAGTTAGCATCCTTTCCCAGAGGTCAACTAGGTCAGGGGCAGGCAACCTTGGCTCTTTTATGACTTGTGGACTTCAATACCCAGAAATCCTGAACCAGCCATACTGACTCAAGAATTCTGGGAGTTGAAGTCCACAAGTCATAAAAAAGCCAAGATTGCCTACCCCTGAGCTATTGGCCATTAAGTACAGTAGTCCTCAACGTACAACCACAGTTGAGCCCAAAATTTTGTTAAGTGAGACATGTGTTAAATGAATTTGCCCGTTTATGACCTTTCTTGCCATAGTTATTAAGTGAATCACTGCAGGGATTAGTTAGCTACACGGTTGTTAAGTGGATCTAGCTTCGTCATTGATTTTGCTTGCCAAAAGGAGATCATGTGACCTTGGAATGCTGCAATGGTCATAAGTAGGAACCAGTTGCAAGCATCTGAATTTTGATCATGAGATCACGGGGACGCTACAAAGGTTTTAAGTGTGAAAAATGGTCACAGGCACTTTTTTCAGTGCTGTTGTTAACAGCTGTAAGTCAAGGGCTACCTGCATTTGGGTGGAAGCGTACAGGGTTGTGCACCACTGGATTTGAGTGTGAAAAGATGCTTCAGGGTGTGAATACCTGCTTGCAGCTCTCTTAAGGCCTCGCCTTTCCTGGAAGTGCTCAACTCTTGTGATTGCTAAAGCCACATTTTTTAAAAAAGAACTACAGATGTTTATAACTCCACGTGTTCTGAAGCACCTTTTCTCCTCTTAGGTGCCAAGTATTGCACAATCCAAATCATCAGTCTGGATGATGAGAAAGTACTGACAGATTTATTCTTTCGGGAGTTGCCTTTTGAAGACATCTAATTTGGCGATTCACACATCCTGGCCACAGCCAAAGGAAAGCTTCAAAAGATGGCTAGATATTTTCTGATTAAAATATGGCACTTGGGTGATTATGTCCTGTGGCTGAAGTGAGATGCCGCCTTGTAGGGTTAAAAACACTTGCAAACTAAGGTCGAGTCTGATCTTCTAGGAAATCAGTGGTGCAGCAAGAAAAGAAATATACAGCAACCGTCCCCTCCACATTAATTGATAAGCAAAGAGGAATTCTGCTTTAATTAGGCAGGAACTAAATTGTACCCCAATGCTGCAATTTCGAAACAAACCTGTAAAAGCAGAAATAATCCAGAAATCAGCCCAGGGAAGGTGGGGGGAGAGGAGACCGTGCACATTGCTTATACATATATATATATATATATATATATATATATATATATATATATATATATATATATATATATATATATTAGCTTTTCTGACTGCAGCAGAGAAAAAGAGTAAATGCAAAGAGATTTCCAGATGCTTTTTTTAAAAAGCCAAGGATATTTGGGGGAGGGGGCGGAATGGAATGAGTAAGCCGCAGGACCTCCAGATCTCCTCTGGATCTCATAAAATGCAACGGTTTCTTTTGTCCACAAAATAAAGAGAAGGCAACTGGGGGACGGAGGGAGGCCAGGCGGAAGAGGAGGTCCTTCAGGCCAACAAAAAGGGAACCTCCAGCATTTTGCTTGAGGGGGGAAGATAAGAGAGCTCAGAAATGAGCTTGGGAAATAGGAAGGAGGGAGGGGATGAATAATGGGTTAGGGGGGACTGGAACAGGACTAAAGGATGAAGGTTGGGGGGGAAGAGAGCCCTAAACTCGGGATGAGGGACCAGAGGTTGCCTGAGATGATAAAGGGGGGGGGGAATGAGTATAATGAGGGGGAGTTTGCGGGGTGGAAAAGGTCTTTCGATGGAAAAAAAAACAGTAAAAAAGGGAGAATATGGGTGGGATGAAAAGGGAGGGGTCAAATTAAGGTACTTGGGGACTCCCCCCATGAGCTCTTCCTAAGCCAGCCTCCCAGGCGTGTCTTACTACAAGCCCCATCAGGCACTCCAGAGACCCATGCCCCCCCAATCCTATCCCAGAGACACCCCCCAATCCTTGTGGAGGCAGCTGCCCACTATCCCCCCACACTCATCCCCACCCAGCAGGGCTCAATTACACTACCCCGCCCCCACGGAGGCTAACAGGATGATGGGACTTTGTAGTCGGGCCGCTTGGACCTCCAGAAACACCCATGCCCCCACCACCTTATGCCAGATAGACCACCCCGCAGGCCTTGTGGAGGCATCTGCCCCCAGCCTCCGCTCCCCCAAGCCAGGCTGCACTATACACCCCCCGCCCCCCCGGAGGCTGATGGGTCCTGTAGTCAAGGCTGGGGCAGAGGAACCCAGACCGGTCCGGGGGGGGCTGAGGGGATGCGAAGGGGGGGAGGGGTAGGGGATTACCCCCCTCAATTAGGAAAGGGCCGCGGAGGGAGGGCAAGGAGAGTCTGAGGGGATAAAACTGGGGGGGGGTCGGGGGGTCTCCCGGCTCACCCATTTGCTCCCGCAGCCCCTTCAGGGTCGAGGGAGGCGGCATGGGGACCCCGGGAGACGCCCCGCCGCCGCTCCCCTCCGCCATCTTCGCCCCTAAGCGGTCCGGGCGGCGGTCCGGAGCCTCCTTCGCTCGACTCGCCGGCAGATGCTCCGCCGCCGCCGCCTCAGCCTCAGGCCGGTGGCGCGGAACTGCCGAAGGGACGCGGGCACGGCGAGGGCGCAGGCGCGGCGCAGGCCACGCCCCGGAGCCCTTTGGCTGGGGGCGGCGGAAGAGAGCGCGTGCGCTGGCCCGCGGCTCGGGCGTTCGGGGAACTTCGCCTCCGGCCAGGCGGACAACGATCCCTGAAGGGTAGGCGAGGCGGCAACGCGCGTGCGCGTAGCTGCTCGCTTAAGTTGTGCTTCCGTTGCCGCGGGTTCGATTCCCACTTTCTCCATGGGTGGTCCATCCTCGCGTGTCTTCAGTCTTCTTTAAGGATATTTCCTTGGGGAGGTTCCATCCATAGGGTTACCATATCTACTGAGACCCGTTTTCATCTTGATTTGTTAGCTAAGCCACTTGGCTGCATCTGTACAAATCAGCACCCAATGACAAATTGCCGTTTATAAAACCCAATAGATGGATGCTTGCTTAGCCCTAAGTCACAATGGCTTCCCTTACTGGCTTTGCTTATCCAAGGCAGTGGAAAGGTTGCAAACAGGTGATCTCATGATCTTGGCACATTGCAACCATCCTAAATGCTTGCTGGTTGCCAAGTGCCCAAAAATTGATCATATGAACTTTGCAATGGTCATAAGTGTGAGGACTGCTCATAAGTCCCTTCTCTGCTATTGCAACTTTGGTCACTAAGTAAATTGAACTGAAGAAGCTTCTTGGATGAAAAGCAAAATGTTTTCAAAGAAAAAAACCTCCAGTTGCCTTTTGGAAAAAATATCTTTGTGACAGCCATGACCTGGAGGGTTGAGAATCTCTATATAGTCATAAATAAATAGTAAGTTGAGGGCAATCTGCATATATTATTTATTTAATCCCACTTTCATTCCTTTATAAATAAGTCCAGGTGGCAAACATATCTAATCCTTTCCCCTCCTGTTTTTCCCATCACAACAGTCCTGCAAGGGAGGTTGGGTTGAGAGAGAGAAATTGGAACTGGCCCAAAGTAAATCAGCATTAAAATTCTCATCCACAGGAGGTTTGTCTCTTCTGGTTGCCGGGCATTTGGGCAGCTCCCTCTCTGGACTGGACGTGCTGCTGGAAGGAAGGACAGCCTCTCCGTGGTGTCGACCTTCTTATAAAAGACACATTCTTCGCCCCGGCTCCAGCTGAACCCAACGGAGGCTTTGTGGAGGCACGTCGCTCAGACTCCAAAGCTGGTTTTGTTCGCTGCCATAAAAGACGTGTCTGTGTCAACCAACTCCGCAGAATTTTGCTCCTTTCTTCAATGCACCAGAGAGACTCTTTTAAATTTATCATCGAGGCATCACAGGCTTTGCAAACTTCCAAGCTCACCTTCTTCGGGGCTGCCTGCCCTATTTTACACATTTTTCTTATTTCACCAGCCCAGCAGAGGAAATAAATGTTTGGCTCACACTCATAGCAAACCACATCTCCATCACTGGCAGGGGAAAAAAAAAATCCAGGCTCAATCGTTGCTGGCTGCTGGACCTTTAAAATGAAAAGGACGGTCCCAAACCTTTCTTTTCCCCAAAAGGGATCTGATTTTTTTTTTTTTTTACAAATTGTGTGTGCCTATTTACATCCAGAGAATCGAAAGAAATGATTTAGCTTGAACAGAGAGAACGGAAATGAATCATGTATTTGGCATCTCAAGGAAGCTGCCTTTTACAGAACGTTAGAAGCGTTGCTGGGCTCATGGGGAGAAAATGTTTGGGAGACGGAGAGAAAAAATTGGCATTAGGAACCCCCAGCCCCAAATGGTTTTCCTTCAGAGGCAACCCATTGTTTGCAAAAGCTGATAGGCAGAACCCAATTCATGCAAGAAACATAATTTAATTGCAAGAAACATATTAGGTATCCTACTGCATGGAAAAAAGTCATCACTGCTTTTTGTTTCTTTTATTATAATTTCTTTTTTCCTCTTCCCTCCTTCTGTCGCTTTCATCCTCTTTCCTTTCCCTTTTTTCTATTGTCTTTCTTTCTTTTTGCAGTTTATATTAATAAAAGAAACTTTTAATAAAATATATATCTTTTTAAAAAAGATAGTGTTCTCCTTCTCTTCTTTGATTTGTCTTGTGTGTGTGTGTGTGAGAGAGAGAGAGAGAGAGAGAAAGAGAGAGAGAGAGAGAGAGAGAGAGAGAGAGAGAGAGAGAGGGAGAGGGAGAGGGAGAGAGAGAGAGAGAGAACTTGCCCAAAGTTCCAGCTGTGCAGCTAATAAAACTCATACATCTTCATGAAAGCTGCAATTTTTTGGCACAACAGTGACTCCCAGAGGAAGTGTGTAAAAACCCTTTTTCCAGGACATTCCAGCCAGATTTCTGCAGCAAACCGAGAAGCATCCTTGAGCTGAGTCCCGGTTTTGCTTTCTCGGAGATGGAAATTTCCCGTGGCTAGCTATAAATGATTGCATTCTTTTTTGCACTGTTGCAAATCCCATAGTGCTTAGCAGGGGTGTCTGCGCGCAATGAATAATGCCTGTAGAGAGATAATTGCTCTGCCTTCCCAAGTTCAGGGCTAAGCTTTGTGTAGCCAAAATGACATCCTTCGAATTGATCCTTTGAAAAATCCAGAGAGAACTCCAAACTCATAAAACTTACGGAAAGAAGGCTGTGTGAATTGCAATAAAGCTAAACAAAAGAGGAAGTTTGTAACAGGATTTCTTTTTAAATTAAAACTGAAAATTGAGCGTAACTGTGAAATTGAAGCTTGGGTCTTCTTCCTTCTGATGGTTCTTGCCACCCCATCAAAAGTACGGGTAGTCCTGGACTTATGATCACAATTAGGAAGAGAACTTCCATAGCTAAGCAGTGTGACTATTAAGTGAGCCACACCCAATTTTACGATCTTTTTTTGCTATCGTCATTAAGTGAATCCAGCTTCCCCCATTGACTTTGTTTGTTGGAAGCCCCCAAAGAAGGTCCCAAAGGATGGTCACATGACCCTGGGATGCTGCAAACGCCATAAATGGGAGCCGGTTTGCCAAGCGCCTGGACGCTACTACATGAACGCAGGGATGCTGCGATGGTTGTACGTGTGAGGACTTCTCAGTATCATGGTAACTTTGAACGGTTGCTAAAAAAATGATTGTAAGTCAAGGACTATCTTCTGAAGATAACTTCTGAAGGCTTGTCTTCTGAAGCTGCTCCATCCCTGGAGATTTTAAAGAAGAGACTGGACAACCGTTTTCCTGAAATGGTACAGGGTCTCCTGTTTGAGCAGGGGGTTGGACTAGAAGACCTCCGAGGTCCCTCCCAGCTCTATTCTGATTGATTGATTTTCTCCATCTTGGTTTGGGATTTTTCTCCCTCAGCGAAAAAACTTCTGAATCCAGTCCGAGAAAAGATGAAGCCTAAAGATTCGCAGTTGTCCGAACAACTTTCTTTACAAAACCATGTTCCCATTCCCATATGATTTTATTGCACTAATCTAATCTTTGTCCTTCCTTCTTAGCAAGATTAGATTTTATGATCCAATAAATTATTGAAATTTCCATGGCATGGAAAGCTCTAAAGATCAGAGTTCAGTCATGCTAATCACTTCTAGCCAATGAAATCAGTTCTGGGGTTGTGCTTTTCTTCAACAAATGTTCCAAGTTTGCTTTAAATCAAGGAATCTTCAAGTTTCTAAGGCTCATGGTGAGGGCAACCTCCTAGTCAGATGTCCATCATGTGAACGGAAGGTTTATAATGACACAACTCCAACATGTATGTCAGTTTTTTCATCACCCATGTGGTCTCTTCTGCTTCTTTGTAGGTTAGGCTTGTCCACAGGAGATGTTTTTTGAAATAATAAAAAAACAAATCTGGAGAAGTAGATTAAGCAGTACAGGGTTGGTCCAGAGAAGAAAAATGAGATGACATTTCAATAGCCAAAACAACAAATCAGGAAGGTCATAAAGGAGAAAGAGGCGGGACTGATTTGGCTGATTGCCCTGTTTCCAGTAACTTTTCCAAAGTCCTGGTGATATCCTGTTGTTGGCTGCTGAAGATTGAACTGCCCTGGATCGATATTTTAATTTCCTCCTTGAGACATGAGCCAGAAACTGATGGGAAGGGGGCTTGATTCTGCAACCTGGGAGCAAAGCTCTTCTTGATGACTCCTTTTTCAGGTAGGTTGGTGGTTGATCTTTGGAGCATCGTGTGTCAACTGACTTAGGAAAAATCTTAATTCCTGCAAAGCAGGGTGGATTTCAGTTGTGTAAATGGGTTAATCTCCTCTGATCTGGAACTTCCTGGAGGTCCACCCAGGCCTGTGGGGGGCGTTTCGGCTGTGGGGAAAGTGAGATCTTGAATAATATCCAGGATGGGAGAGATTAGATCAGAGTTTCTGTTTTCATCTTTTTTCTCCAGGACAGAAGATTCCCTTCTGCCTTTCAGACCAGATCTAGAGGATGAATGGTCAAAAGTATGATGTTGCTGGATATGCTGGATCCAAGATTTTTGGTAGCCTGCTCTTTGCTGTGGCCACCTTGTTCCTTGTCTCAGGTATGAGTTTTCCCAACCAATCAGGATGTGCTGCTTCTTCGTAGGTCAGGATCTTTTCTTCCAAAGCTTTATGATTTTTGAAAATTCCTTTAGTGGCTCATAAACTCATCCACAGTATCAAATGGATCGACGCTCCTTCCTCAGATTTTCTTCTTCTTCTGTCCTAAACAGAATCCGTGTCTTTGAAAGGGAAGCAGGTGACCTTCAAGGGGATGATGAGCAAATATGTTTCCTTGGCCAATTGGCATGTCCCTCAACTTTGTGCCTTTACTGTATGTGTTGACCTCAACAAGACTCAAAAAAGTGTGCCGAGTGGGGCAGCCTTTTCCTACGATGTCAACAGTTCCTCCACCAACATTAATGAGGTGGAGCTGGCTCTGTCTTTCAATAATTCCACCTTGCAGATGTTCTTCATGGGCAGCTTCCTCGATCTGGGACAGTACGTTGTGGCTTACAGAATGCACCAAATCTGCTGTGTCTGGGACAGCCAGAAGCATCTCCTGCAGCTCTTCTGGGATGCAAAGAATCTGGTAAACAAAACCCTGCCAGATTTCCATCATCGCTGTCTACGGCCCAATGGGACATTAGTGATGGGGCAATTGCACAAGAACTACAACGGAGTACTAATCCAGCAATTGTCCTTCGTTGGCGTCTTGCACTACTTCCAGATGTGGGATCATGGGAGAGGTCAGCAAGACATGGAGCGTTGTGAAGATGGAAATGTGGTCAGCTGGGGGCAGAATTACTGGTCTCTGCAAGATATATTGACAGAGTCTGCCCAGCATCAGCGTTGCGGTGAGTATCCATAACTTCTTCAAATAAATCTCCTCCATCTTCAGTCATTCAGAATATATACAGTGTATGATTTTTGAAAAAAGATGGGTCTACATCGAAACCCCCAAACAGTACATCCGGTTATGATTTTATATATAAAATACAAAAAAATGTAAGTTCATAATTGGTGAGTTTAAATGTAGACTCATTTTTTCCAAAATTCATTATTTTATTGACAAGAAACCGTAGTTTCTTGATCCTAGCCTATTTGAATCAAAATTTGTCATACTTATATCTGGATTATTCACTTTTCTCTTATTTTATTGGACAAGCAAAGAAAACAGAGCAGGTTGAAGGCTTACCTGCAAGTCCTAGATCTTGTTCACTCATTACAGTAAGGTGTTTAACTATGGTTCCTGAACAAATTACCACTGGCTCAGTTCAGGAATATTATGGCTTAGCATGTTATGGGGAGCAAATCTGGACTCTTTCACAAACCATGTTTAAATCAGATCATGGCTTAGCATTTCTGTGTAAATGGAGATATAGAATGCTGCTTCCTTTTTCAGGGCATTCCTGTCCCAGTTCTTGCTCTGCTCTTCTTTTCTATTTTATAATTTTGAACTTTTGGAATCCCTGATGAGAATCTTAAGCTTTAAAATTTTATTTATGAGCTGCCTGTCAAATCTTGGCTGACGTATATGAGAACCTCCACACAGGGTATAAATGACTTTCCTTCCTCCTTTCGAATAAGCAACAATTTACGGACAAAGTCTGGCATTTGGAGCAGATAAGACAGTCACAGGTCTGAGCACCAGCAGTCATGACGTCTATGAGGTGGGCACCGTATACATTGAACAGATAAATCCATGTTTCTCAACATGGCAAACTTGAAGACCCATGGACTTCAACTCCCAGACGTCCCCAGCCAGATGGGGGGGAATATAAAGACATAAAATCAGTGGGAAAATTCAGGAAAAATCAAAAGAAAGTAACCCCATTTCCCTATTTGTGAGGAAAAAAAAACAATAAATGGAAGATTCAGTTATGCAGCGTTTCTCCTAAGATAATTGTTGCATATCATGGTTCTTGTTCACGATCCCATGAGCTCCCTGAGTTTTTCTTCCCAACCTCAAAATTCCTAGTCACGTATGTCCCTTTTCATACCTGCGTTTTCCCTTTTTCTTTGATAGGTGCAGAGGAACCTATATCTGCCTTTCCGCCTATCACTTCCCCAGGTATGGAACTCTAGGATGCTTCAGACTTCCCCCCCCCCAAGCATTGACCTGATAGCGGTACAGGAGAATGTCAGAACGGTACATCAGACAGCCCTCTTTGCTACCCTTCATACATGCAACAACAGTCTGAGCAGCAGCAATCATGCCTATGAGACGGGTGCCATCTAAATTGGATAGATAAATCAGTGTTTCTCAACTTGAAGATGTGTGGACTTGTCTCCCTGGTGTCTTTTTTCCAACCTCAGCTTTCCCAAGGGGTGTGCTTTGTCCTCCTTCGCATCTGTACTTCCCCCTTTTCTTCTACAGGTGCTGAGGAGCCCACATCTGCCTTTCCAACAATCACCTCCCCCGATCCAAACGTTACAGGTATGGAACTCCCAGATGCTTAATGTCTATGGAGATTCTCCATCCTCCAGGTCATGGTGGTGCTTTTCCAAAAGGCAACTGGACTTTCTTCGTTTTTTTTTTCCTTGAAAATATTTTGCTTCTCATCCGAGAAGCTTCTTCAGTTAAAGAAATAAACCGAAGAACTTCGGTTGAAGAAGCTTCTCGGCTGAGAAATGAAACATTTTCAAGGAAAAAAACCCAAGAAAGTCTAGTTGCCTTTGGGGGAAAAAAAGCACCTTTGGGACATCTGGAATGCTTAAGAGTGTTCCCCCCCTCCCTAAACATTGACCTGATGGCTTCTACAAAGCGGTGATAAAACCTTGGAGAATGTCAGAATGATATCAGATATTGCTACCCTCCATAGGTGTGGAAGATTTGGCAGGATCGTGCCACATTGAGTCGCTTGGTGTTTGTTTCATTCCTGGGCTCCCTTCTGTGCTGAGTCCAGGTAATTTCACAAGCAGCAAAGAAAGCAAACCCTAGATGGAAATCTTCTTACAAAGCAATGTTATGAATCTGATTTACAAGGCAGCCCTGCTCAAATTCAATATTCTGCACGGCTATCAATAATTAAAAACAACATAAGACAATCATACATTTTTAGCCATGAAAAAGTATATTTTTAATACCTTAAAATGCATTTTAAAAAAAAGAATTCTGTTCTGCACGCATTTCCAAAATAGGCACGGTAACAAAAACTACCCTGTTCAAAACCCCCATAGTTTTATAAAGGTGCGTCGTCGTAGATCACACATTTAAAGTACAGAAAGCTTATGAATCAAAGTCAAAGGCCAACACAATTGAAAGTAAGCTTGAAGATCAGCTGGCTTCCCCATCTCTCCCCCCTTTCAGTGATCACGGACACCTTCTACAGCTTCCAGATGAACTTTTCCGTGACTTGGGAGCCCCCCAGGGAGTGCGATCGCTATGATGCCAAAAAGCTTTCTGCAACTTGGGTAAGTCTGAATTAGGATCCGTTTAAAGCTGGCTTGTTTAATGGGCAGGGCGGAAGGGTGTTGGTCAGCGAGAGATATTTCATTGCCTGGCAGAAGCAGAGATGCTCTCTCACTGCACATCTGTGTAGATGTTTAGCTCTCACAGGGAATAGCTGCTGATTATTCCAGCTTTAACCCTTTCATGTAGACGACATTACTTGAATAGAGAAGGAAAGTGGGACACCGGGTGATTCCCTCCTGTCTTCTGCGCAATTTGCTGGACAGAGATAATGCAGTATTGTCCTAAAATAGTATTTCTCTACCTCAGCCACTTGAAGATGTAGGGACTTCAACTCCCAGAATTCCCCAGCCAGCGTTCTGAATTCTGGGAGTTGAAGTCCAGAGAACTCCGAGCGGCAGAGGTTGAGGAGCTTTATCCTAAAGAAGCACTGATTCTGGCATAAACATTTGATGACCATTTTTGAAAATGACTGCTGCTCTTAGACAAATACTGGATAAGGTTGAGCCAGGAACCCAATTGTGATTGATCATTTGTCTCTATTACAGTTCAAGAAACAATTAAATAATTCAGAATTTGTGATGACAAACCATAACGTCAAGACAGCTTGGTAAGCATATTTTTTTCTCTTCCCCCCCCCCCCCAAAAAAAAACAGGGAGCAAGGAACTGCGAAATCAGAAAGATTTTCCAGTCTAGATTGGAAAAGAATACAAGACAAAGCTCCCATCCAACCATCGTGAGAAGCGCTAGCAGCAGGAAATGTGCCCATTTTAACGTCAAATACAGTAAATGTCAATAAATACAATCCATACAAACTATCCTCTGGGGTCCACCATCATGTCTAAAAAGGCGAAGTGCCCTTACGAGAAAAACATTTACAAAACATGGCAGTAGATCATGACTTATCAGGGCTAAAGACTTATCTTATTAGGGCTAAAGACATATTTAGATTGAGTTATGTGACTAAGAACATTTGGGGACCTCTTTCCATCCAAATTCAGGACCTGGAACCCAACCTAATAAATCTCTCACTACAGCACCTTCCTCTTCCCTGCCTGACTGATATTTTTTTTAAACCCACCCACAATGATCTTGAAATATCTTTCTTTCAACACAGCCACAAATTATCACAAGGAACCAGGCAGGTTAACACTGAGGTATGTATTTAGAAATCCTAAACCACCTCTTTCCCCATCAAGCCCTGATTTTTTTTCTCCCTTCTTTCAGACTCTGATGCGTTCTTTCATCCTTCCTCCTCTTTCTTTCCTGTATCTTCTCTAGTGAGAAATTGCCATGGTAGCAGCAAAGATGGTGCCTTAGTAACTGGAGGGAGGCGGCTGATGCTCTGCTTATTTGGCACATTAAACGAGGAGAAATAACCCTGACATCTAATAGCATCTTGGCCACCCTTTTAATCCCTAGAAATGAAACCTTGCAAGGCAGAGAATCTTGGCTTGTCCTCCTCCCATCAATTGCCAGCTATTATTTAGGGGTCACTGAGCATACATATTTTTACCTGGGCTAATTTTAGTCCCGGCCTTCCTTGCGGTTCATGGTTTGGAAAAGTGTTTATGCTTCTGCAAAGGTGGAAGCTTCTTGCAAATGGCTCAAAGCTCCTTGCCATTTCTCCCTGGGTGGAGAAAATATTTTGGATTAGAGGGATTATATTCACAACTGATCACTAGGAGGCACTATTTGACTGGTTTCTTTCTTCTTGGGGCTTATCAGTTGTAGGCAGCTTCTATTGCCAGCTCCAGCAAGAATGAAATGGGTTGTGTAGTGTCTTCTAGGGACCAGTGGTAAATATAACCACGGTAACACAAAGACCCAAGCAAATCAAGCCCTATAGCTTTCCATTCTGAACATCCCAATGAACAAGAAAGGAAAAGGTACCACTGAGAACATCACTGCATTTTCTGTACACAATAAGACTGATTTATTGACCTCAAGGCTACTCATTCCTTGCTATACCTACTGCTAGCAACTGAATCTTGCTGGCTGCTGATGAAACACGTTAGTGTGGCTTTCCATCTTGGAAATGCCAAACTGTTGCTTTTCTTTTGCTGCAGAATATCAGCCACCTTTTTCTTCTAGGCAGATTGATTTTTTTTTTTAAATCCTGTTTCTCTCCCCTCCCTCCCATCTTATCACTTATTCTCCAAGCAATCTGCAATTCCACTGAATTGCTTTGGAATGTCTCCGCAAAGCGGTAATCAAAGCCTAAATGCTGAGGGTAATCTGAGCGAAGGGAGGAAGGTTGGCAGCCTTGCCAGTTGGAGAAAAGTGGTACCTTTACACCTCCGCCTGGAGCATCACGAACCTTGCTAATTAGCCACTTTTCTCCCTGCTGAGCTTCTCCTTCCCGATCCATCGGATCCATCGCAGGCAGTAATTGCGCACCTAATGCTGTAAACATGCTAGTTAACTCTTGTTATTTCTTTTATTCTGCATTGTGGATCTTCTGAACGGAAGAATGGAAGACTGTCTTCCCGGAGGTAAGGGGTGCGATTCAAAACTTGCCAACATTTTCACATCATTGTTCAGGGAGTGCCTGGTTTTTAGACCACCCTGAACTTGTGGGACATTCTATCCTAGATTTCAGCTCCCAGAATTCCCTGCCAGTGGCCGATACTCCCTGAATCTAAAATTATTGCCAAGGGAAGCATAAGAGTGATAGACAATCTCCCTCCCAAATCTGTCAACCTTATTTAGGTGCTTTTTTAAAATTTGAAGTCACCCCAATTCAACTCAAGGGTCCTGGGTTCTGAAGCTTTAGGCAGCTGGTGTCCACCCAGGGTGACTGGCAGCCCTCCTGTGGCCGAAATTCTGGAACTGCAAACCATAATCATCAGACATGCCCCTTGAGAAGCAGCACCTTGGTTTTATTTGACTTCTTGGCTAGGTGGGCCCAGCACCTTCTGTGGAGAAGAGGAGGGAGCTGGTTCAGCTCATTGACATGGTTTAAGCCTTGGCACCTGGTATCCAAGAGCCACAGATTGAATCCTCCATGAGTGTGTTTCTCCTTGTGTCTCCAGATATTCCTCAAAGGCCATCATCAAGGCCAGATCCAGTCAAAGCATGCAGGAGATCGTGTGGAAGCTACAAAACACCTTGTGTGGGGATTACACTGAAGATCAATTGTCCATGAGTGTGAAGCAAAAGGATACACATGTTATTTCTTTTGGTAATATAGTCATTGGATTTTTTTTGTCCTAATGGTCTTCCAACTGAATAGTCCCTCTTCTTTCCATACAATAATCCCGAGATAATAAAATGAGAGCATCTCTCATTAAAGTGGCCTAACAAACTTTGAGCTTAGATGAAGACTTCAGTCTAAAATGTCTTGGTTTTATTCTGAGGGATTCACGAGTCACACACCACAAGAGGACACAGCTTAAGAGGAGAAAGCTTGCTATACCTCCTTACCTCTCCGATTGCAAAGGCAGGGGCATCTTAGATATCACGACTGCTCACCCTCCAGTGGTAACCTACTCCTCTCATTCACAACTTTTAGGGTCAATACTGAAATGATTGAGGAGAAAAAGGTTAGGTGATCTTCCATTCTTATCTTCTTGTCTCAAAGATCCAGAATCGTGTTCTGAACAGACCGTCTGGTCCAACTACAAAGGTGTCTACACTTGGCCAAAGATGGTTCCTCCCAATGTGATGACCTTGCCCTGCGAGGCCAACCGAGAGTTGGCAGCTTCCAGACTGTGGTGAGTAAAGGAATGCACCAACTCCCATTCTTTGACCACCCACCCCACCCCGACATCATACCTCATATGATGCTTGGTGGACCTTGTTTTCCAAAGAACAATTAGGGTGGACAAACTCCAACCAGGAAAAGATCTCCATGGCCATCATATTTTATCCAGAAGATGACTGTCCAAGTTGTGGACCTCAGGTAGTCCTTGACTTACGAGCACAATTGGGACCAGATTTCCATTTACTGACCAAGGTGGTTGTTAAGCAGTTCAGCCAAGCGAAAACCCACCTGAAAGAAAACCAAAGGACAAGCAAGCAAGCGTGACAAAAGAATATTGCCTACTCTTCTAATGTCTCTGATATCTCTCTTTTGTTTCAAAGCTTGATTAACCTTCGGACTGAAAAAGCCTATTGGAAGAGGCCAAACTTGGCTGCTTGTCCTCTGTTGCAAAATTTGCCAGATAATATACTGGATCTTAAAAATGTCACCGTCACAGTTGGTAAGTTCCTGGGTGGGTTTGTTTTTATGCCGAAGAATGCTAAAACCAATCCTGATTTATCTACTTTTCTTCTCTAGCTACACCTGATGAGATCCTACTTCCCTCCCATTTCTTTGAAGGCCTTCCTTGTTGGGAGGGAAGTGGGATAAAAGGGCGATAGTGTGCAGTAGACTCGGGGAAATTGTATGTGTGTGAATGTCCTGCACGGGGAAACGCAGTCTCCCTGAAAGAGAAACCTATAATCTTTCCCCACAAGCTGCTAGCTTTCTCACGAATGAAGGCAAATAGACGTGTCCCAGGATAATGTTGCAGGATCTGATCTGGGTCGCTCACCCGGACCAGAGGTTTCGTCTTCCAAGTTTTGGGACTCGTGCTGGAGCCCATCCTCAAGGAACGTCTCTCTAGCAAATTGTGTGGTCCGAAAGCTCGGAAGACTAAACCTCTGGTCCCGGTGACCGACCCAGATTGGCTCCTGCTGGCTTTCTGCTTGCAAAGAGGTCAACCATTCAAAACCCAGAAGTCTTGCGAGATGCATGTCAGCTTCTGGCCACGGCTTAGATCTTTATCAAAAGGAGCTTCTGTCTTTGCTCTGTTGCAGAAAATGCGGAAGAGGTAGCAGATCACATTTTATTTCTCTTGAGTTTTTCCGATCTGAATAAAGATGAAATTGAGGTCCTGGTGAACAAATTGAGCGATATAGCCAACTGTGAAGAAATCAGCCTGGCCCTGGCTAGGAAGATACTGCAAATTATCAATATCTTTATGGAAGATAAAATCCAATTGCAGGATATGCAAACTGTACTCAACAGGTATGAAAAAAAACCATGGTCACCTATTAATCAGACGGTCATTTCTGAGTTGAGGATCCAGAATTCATAATACAGAATATCAGAACTGGAAGAGACCTTGGAGGTCTTCTAGTCCTACTCCCTGCTCAAGCAGGAGACCCTCTATCAGTTCAGTCAAATGGCTGTCCAGTCTCTTCTTAAAAACCTCCATTGATGGAGCGCCCACAGCTTCTGTAGGGAACCCGTTCTACCAATTGATTGTTCTCACTGTCAGGAAATTTCTCTTAGTTCTACGTTCTTGGTTCCAGATTGAGATGCTTGTGTGAAACAGTCTGGGACTGGAGCATTACTGTAATGTGGAATTAGAGTCCATGGTTTTTCACAGTCATTGGAGGACAAGACAAAAAAAAATTGACCTCCTTTCTATAGTTTTAAAAACATGGGAATCCAAAAAGGGATGAACAGCCTGCTTAGAACATGTGGTAAGTTTGCCAAAGAAAAAGTGTTAGACTTTGTCATGATTCTCCTAGAAATATTTGCCTCCCACTAAATTTCCAACTGCCCAGAATCCAAAGTCTGCAGCTTTTCGGTAACGAACAGACACCTTTTGCAAGAAAATAGAATTCTAGGATTTCAAAGAAAAAGAGGGGCAAATTTTTGCTTCTCCTTATTCAGACCTTTAGCGACGTTTCACTCCCAGGCTTGCCTTTGCACACCCAGAAGTTTGCAGAATATATTCCTGCCCAAGCAGCAAAGGAGAAATGCTTTTTATAAGGACTACAAGCTAACATGAAACATCTGAAGATGATGGATGGATCCCATCTCTGGCAAATGTTTTTGTTCTCCACAGTAGCACTTGTTAGTGTGATTGTGGGTAGCAGATGTGCTGTGAAAAGTGGGAATTCAGAATTTATGATACAATCACGTTAGCAGGAACAGAGCTTGCCGTATCTTGAATGATGACACCCCCTGCACGCTTCCTCACCCGGCCATGTTCTCTCCACCTTTCCAGTTCCAAGTGAGAACACAGTGATGTGCCACTACTGAATACGCTACCCATTAGATGTTATCCACTTAGTCATGTCCCACTCTTGGCAATTCTATGGACCTGATCTCTCCACATCTTCCGATCCTGCACTACTTCTTTCAATTTTTCTATGTGCTGGTTGGTGTCAGCTTTGCTGGTGCCAATCATCGTGTTCTTTGTTGGCTCGGTTTCCTTTTACCACTCCCTCTTCCAAACATATCCCAAAGGGGCTTTTTCTAAAGGCAACTGCACTTCCTTTGTTTTTGCTTGTTTTCTGAGCTCTTGTGTACTTTCTCCAGAATCTTAACGATCATGGAACAAATTGGTTTCAAGATGAACTTCAATGGGAGAAATGAATCCATCATCCTGCCTAGGCTGGCTTTGGCGGTGCTACGGCCAGATCCCATGAACTTCCAAGGAGTTGCTTTTGGGATTGTATTCTACACTCTGGAGACCAGCCCACAGGTGGGCCACCTTTTAACACTGGGTTTCTCCCCACCTCTTTATCACCTATTTCTGCCAGATATTTCCTGAATTAATTTGAAATCAACTCTAGATCTTTTCCCATACAGCTCAGCATCCAATCAACACCCTTCACGGATGTTCAGGCCTCAATATATTTGCCAGGATTGTTGAAAAATTACCTAAAGTCCCAATCTTTGGATGGAGACAGTTTTACTGGGATTCAATTCACCTTTTTTGGTGCGCCGTCATTGTTTGAGGTAAGTAGGCTGGATTTGCAAGAGTAGAAGGAAATTAGCAATGGATGCCAAGGAAGAAGAAACAGCTGAACCCCCAGATTTAACTTGTGTGCCCCTCATTCTGGTGGAAAGGGGTTGGAAATGGCCCTGAGAGATGAGTAGGATAGAGAGAGGAGGAAAAAAAAATCTGTGTTTCTTTTTCAGGACAATAGTTTGAAGAACGAAGTTCTGAACACCTACGTTGTAGGTGCCAGCATTGAAAACAAGACAATTGAAGACCTCAAGAAACCAGTCAGCATAGTTCTGCAGCACAGAAACCCACATGGGGTAGAGTACCACATTGTTGCCAAAGGCACCTGTGTTATTTTCACAACATTGAAATGCATTACTTAGCTGGAGTCATCAAGGAGGACTGGTTTGAGAAGACTGTGGATCAAGAGAGGCCTATAGACTTGTGGAGAGCCTTCATTTAATCAAAGAAAGAGGCTATATCGGAGATCCTAGACCTTGGTGGAGTTAGAAGAATAGAAATATGGAAAGACACAGCTCCCTTGACATTGTTATTGATTGACTGAGCTAAATTTTCACTCTCCCTGTCATCCCGTCAGTGAACAGGATGCACTAAAGAGAAATAACATTTCAGATATAGACAACATAATTTTTTAATTACAATTCTGGACCAAAATAGCAGATAAAGTAAACAGTCATTAATTAAGTCAACATTGCAATGAGTCAGATGGCGCATAAACTGTATTTAGCCATCTCACCTCATACATGCAGATATTATCATTTTTACCAAAACTTTGAATATCAGCAATGGGCAAATCCAACAATATTTCCAGGGCACTGAGTTGCCCAACTAGAGAACTGGGAAATTGGAGAAAATCCTGCTCATTTCTACTAGTGGTAACACAAAGAGAACTCTTGACTTGAGGGAAGAGAAGGTGTATCAAAGGTTGTGACTGGTACAGCATATGTGGGAGTTATCTCCTATCTAGGATTTCCTTTGCTTAAGCCATTTTCTTTCTTTTTTTTACTACTAGGATAATGCTACTGTGCACTGTGTCTTTTGGGACTTCAATAGGAATGGTGAGTACTGAGGAATCCAAAGATGTAAGTCTGAGAGATGGTGAGCAACATCTTCATGTTCTCAACAAGCCAGCATGAATCTTTGTTCACACTCCCTCCATCCTTCAGTGTAGCCTTGAAGTCAGGCAGCAGCTATAAAGAGCAGCCAGGAGCTATTAACCATGGGTGAAATATTTCATTTCTCTGCTGTGCAGATGGCCTGGGTGGCTGGAATACCTCAGGTTGTGAAATGAAGCATACAAATAGTACCTATACAATCTGCAATTGTAATCACCTGACCCATTTTGGAGTTCTACTGGTAAGTTGATTTCAATCTTTGCCCCAGTTACAGTGGGAAAAAACAGAGTGCACATATATCAGGAATGCCCAATGTTGGCAACTTTAGGACCGCTGGACTTCAACTCCCAGCATTCTCCAGCCAGCCATCTGGATGGCACCAGATGGGGACAATTGTATGGACTGTCTCATATTTTTTTTTAGGACTTATCTCGGACACCCCTCAGCGATGCTGATGAGTGGGCTTTAGCATTGGTGACCTACGTGGGGTGTGGCATTTCCTCCATTTTCCTGGGCTTGGTACTGTTGGTTTATCTCTCGATTGAGTGAGTCAAGTTGGCTGTCTGTTTTTCTTTCTGAACTCAACAAAATATATTTAGGTTTTGTTTCAATCCCCAATTTTATTTTTCTTTATCAAAGTTCCTGCAAATCTGGTAGGGTCAAGCTACATATTACATTAATTGTCTGTAGAAGATTAGATAGATCTAGACAGATGATTGGAGGGATGGAGGGAAGATGATAGATGAGAGAAAGAGAGAGGATAGATAGATAGATAGATAGATAGATAGATAGATAGATAGATAGATAGATAGATAGATAATCATGAATAAAAGGAAATCAAGTAACGATATCTGTATGACAGTGTAGGAAGTTAATGTCTTTCCCTCTTTTCATTCCAGCAAACTCCGGGAGGACTATCCTTCCAAAATCCTCATCAACCTCTGCTTTGCTTTGTTGATGCTCAACCTTGCTTTCTTGGTGAACTCTTGGCTAGCCACGTTTCAGAATTCTGGCCTTTGCATCACCGTTGCCGTGGCCTTGCATTACTCCCTGCTATCTGCCTTTACCTGGATGGGTCTGGAAGCCATCAACATGTATTTTGCCCTGGTGAGAGTCTTCAAAGTCTACATTCCATATTACATGCTCAGGTTTTCCATAGCTGGCTGGGGTAAGTATCAGAGATATGCAGCTTTTATTGTTTATATGAACATTTCCAGTTTGTAAACATCATGCCCGTTTCAGAATTTTGCAATGTGATTTACATTTTTAAGAGATGTGTGCCGTTGGTAGCTTTCAGCGTGGGCACACAGGAAAGGACACCTCCAAATAAGTTCTCGATGGCACCACCAGAGGGAGATGCAACCTATCTTTGGGTACCAAGGTCCATCAAGCAACCTGAAGGAATGGAGACAAGGCTACTTGGTGTTTTCTTGCAATCCTCCCATTAGGGCATCTGGTTGGCTAGAATGGACAGGGCCAGAGTTCGGGGGGGGGGGGGGGAGAAGAAGACTTGTCTCTTAGAAGACTTCTGAATCTACCTACTGTATGTTGTATTCAGTTTAAAACTTGGGTGGATGTCGCCCACAAATGCAGGATGATGCCCTACAGCTCCTTATTGTTAACATTTCCCATTTTAATGTGACAAAATCATTGAAATTAATTCTTAAGCTTCACAAGGCTGAACTGCTCTTAATTTTTTTTATATGGATGTTAGATATTAAAGCAAATTCTTCCTTTGTTCACCTATTGTTAACACTTTTCCCTGTTAATGGGGGCTTCCCTATTTCATTTCTTTTCTCCAGCTAGGACTTAATTAAACCTCTGCAGGCATTTCTCCTTTTTCGGTTAATGCAGTTTTGTTTTCTTGGGGGTCCTTAGGAATTCCAGCACTTATTGTAATTGTAGCCCTCAGTATCAGCAGAGACTTCTATGGGACTGAATTTGCTTTGAGAAGAAACACTGACAGCCCATCAATGCAGTTGTAAGTCTCTTGTTTTGATTATTTTTACCTGGGAGAACAGCAGGAGAAAACAGCAGCCCTGTTGCTATAATTGATACTGTTCCATCTTTAGCCCCTGAATTATTTGCACACCTACTTCTGCATGTTGCAGTGGTAAAAATATTGGGCTAGGAGCAGGAAAACTCAGATTCTAGTCTATCATGAAAGCTCACTGAGAGACTTTGGGTCAGTTGTTCAGCCTCAGTCCAACCTATTTCACAGGATTTTTGTTGTGGGGAAAAAATAGGAGGCTGAGGAAGCATCACATACCATGCATGGGTTTGTGGATGGAAGATGGACATAAATCAAATCAAATCCATCCATTCATCTATCCAAGGTGCTGCTTTTTATCTATAAACCTGCCTTCTCTTGCCTGGCATCTTCTAAGAAGGTTGGATCAAAACTTCAACCAGTCAATATTGAGTTGACCAACACATCTTCCTTTGTCTTTCTCCAGTTGCTGGATTCAGGACAACTGGGTTTTTTACATCTCTGTAGTTGGCTATTTCATCCTGGTATTCCTGATCAACATCAGCATGTTTGTTACTGTCCTTTGTCAAATCCGTGTCATGAAAACCAACAATTGCAGGGTTGGGAGGGACCAGAGTAAAGAATTCCTCCTTGATTTGAAGAGAGTGACCAGCTTGACATTTTTGCTGGGTTTGACGTGGGGTTTTGCCTTCTTTGCATGGGGCCCCTTGAAGATTGCCTTCATGTACATCTTTGCCATTTGCAATTCCTTGCAAGGTAAGTCTCATGATAAGGTGCACTGACCATGGGGGAAGGACCATAGCACAAGAGGAGCACATGACCTAGTTGTGATCCTTGGTAATTCCAACTACAAGGTCCTGGTGCTCTTTTAGTTCTATTGTGACAAAGTTCCATCTCCCTACAACACACTAGAATGATGGTAGAATAATTCCAAAACATCTTCCAGGTGCCAGGTTGAGGGAAGCCCAAGGAGACAATACTCAGGTCATGAGATGGTGGAGCACCTTTAGATATAGGAGATTGCATTTCAAGGTGCTTCCATTAAATATTTCCAATTGTAATTAAGGTATAATTTGTGTCTGCTCTTCTTTATTTCCTCTTTCTTCTCTGTCCCACCACTTGATGAGATTTCTCATTGTCTCCTCTAGAAATTATAAATGGGGGGGTGGGAATGAGATTCCTATTTTGGAGTCTTCAATTCCCTACGGTATGGTAGAACATTTTGTAATGTCCATTGAGGAACCAGAATATTTCTGGTTTTGTCGATGTTTTGTTAATTTTTGTGGGATGCCTTGGTGCCTTCTGCAACTCATCTGCTCCTAGACCCTTCCTATAATTTACGAAAACCTTGGTGAGCAGAGTGTGTGGAATGCAAGGAAAATTTTATCTGCTTTCCTTTCTAGGCTTCTTCATCTTTGTTTTCTACTGCCTCATGAAGGAAAACGTAAGGAAGCAATGCCAGATACACTTCTGTTGTGGGAAATTTCGGCTCAGCAATTTCCGTAAGGCACCCATAGTTTCTTCCTGTTCTGATGTGGTACTCCCTTCCTCAACTTGATGGGTTCACACAAACTCACAAGGGTTGGCCTTAACAATGAAACACTTGCAAGCGTGTGATCGCTGCCCTGCTCAGGGCAAGATTTGGTTCAGGAGCTATGATAGAACATGCCTTAAATGATTCTGTGGAAGAAAGCAGAATTTCTACATCTTATTTGAGATTTTATATCTGTGTTTCCCTCTATTCTTCCATCTGATTTCAGAGGGGATCAGTTCAGCCACCATCCTGGGAAATTACCCTTGCATCATTGAGCGGAAACACTCATGTCATTCTTTAAAGTCACTCAAGTCTTGGACCACAGGCTCCATATCCAAAGGCAAGTCCAGAAGTTGGGGTTAAAACTGGTGAGAAGGAACAATGGATATTTGGGGGAGTAAGGGCTTTGAGTATCCATGCAGCAGAATCCTAAAAGTCCCCTTGACTGTTTATCTTCTGAGAAGAACCACCTCCCTTAGTAGAAAACAAGCACAATGGTGCTAATTTTTTTAGCCAGCAGGAGTTTTTACAGGAGGATAAAGCATCCAAAGCATTTCCTGTGGAGCCAGAAGTGGAATAGACCACTCTTCCATTGCATTGTGGTCCAAGCCAAAGACCCTTCCAAATGGAAGGAGTAAGCAACAGCAGTCAAGCTCAACTAGACCCCATCAAGATTTAAGAGATGCTTTCATACAACATACTAAGCTAATGTCAACCTTAGAAGATGGTGGTTGACCTCTTATGCAGAGATGGTGGTTGACCTCTTATGCAAAGTCATTTTTATAAATTCCCAGTTCAGCCCAGAATATTTTAATAATCTGATTAGGCATGTTGAGTGAATGCATCTGTTGAGTAAGGCCACATAGACAAGATAGCCACTGTGGGTTGGTAGCACTCAGATGATAGGGGACTGTCAATAAATATTCCACAGAGAACTGATAATCTGCTATGTTTTAGGGACAAATATATCCAGTAGCTAAAATATATTTATATTTTAGATCAAGTTGCTTGCTGCAGAATCAGCCATATGTCCTCAGCTTCTCAGGCAGTCAAGCTTCCTTGTGTAAGAAGAATATCACCAGCAGACGTTGACCTACATCACACAGAGAAAAATAAAGACTTGTCTTAAAGGGGAATCTTACTCTTTCTTGGCTTTTTGAAGCTTATTCTCATAGGTCAAAGCAAATGCTCTCACTCAATATTCAGCAATAAGCCTTCAAATAATTGAATGGAGGAGATGCTGTTAGTCCCCCTCTCCCATATGTTGGTTGTGGGCAACTGAAGTAGGAAGTCAATTCAAGTTGGAGAATAAGTTGGCAGATTTTGGACTGCAAACATTGTGGGTGTATTTGTATAAGATCAGCTTCAACACAATGGGGAGCGAGGGATATATTACTGTCTTATCTCTAGACTGGGCTTTCATAAAATACAATAAGCCACAAGGTGATCTGGTTATCTGTGGCATGGTATGTTCTGAGATTCTGGCCCACTGTAGTTTATTTAAGGCTAAGCAAACACTGATGTAGCACACAATCTTAGAGAGCAAGAACACTCAAGTGCGCTCAGAAATGAACAGCACAAGGTACGGATTTATTTTGTCAAAGAAATGAAAGTCTGCAAAAAAAACGAAAAGCCAAGAATAGAAGTGGACAAAACCAAGACTTCAGATGAAGAAATATCAGATGTTGGTCAGAGATTCTAAACTACAATCCCCATTAGGTCTATTCAGCATGACCAACAGCAAGAGATTGTGGAGTTCTAGGTCAGAACCACTCAAAGCAGCAACGGTCTTCTTCTGGTTGACATAAAAAAAAATGTCCGTCTTTACCAGGTGTGCAAACTTCTCCTGCAACAGAGGCTGAGTCTGTTTTTCTCAGCCACTTAACACAGAAGCACCAGAGGCACGTGGAATGATGTCTTAGAAGTGAGTCAACAAAACAGAAACAAGAGAAAGCTTGTTTATTTACGCCAATCGCAGAATGCCCATTATTCAAGAAAGGAGAATTTTCTCCCATTAGTTCTATTTCTTCTGCCGGATAGCACCTTTGTGCTTTCACTGCACAACTTCAAGATTGTATAATCATGTCTCCTTCCAACGCAGCATTGTTCAAGTTGTCATTTGGACTGAAGGCCTGTAATTTTATTTGAAGGCGTAAATCACGCCAACCGTCTCCTTGCAGAAAGCCATCTGATGCCTCAGAGGGGCTACTGGTGCAGGTAGTAAAAGAAAATATGGAATATTTCCCTGTTATGCAGCTTCAGAGATGGACCGTCATCCAGAAATATGCCTGAAAGGGGCATATATTTAATTTTGGGTGCGTGGGTGGGTCTGGAAATTGTTTTGTTTTTTTATGACACCCACTTTGACCAAAGTGAGGAAAAAAGTTTGGTGTTACAACCACTGGGAGAAAAAAGGGTTCTGTTTAAAAGATGTTTTGTACCAAAGATGTCAACAGCATAATGACTGTATCAATAATGCTTCAGGCTTATTCTGGGATGTGGAGATTTGTGCATTTACACACATAATGTCAACATATACCATCTTTTTTTTTTCTGCTCTGACACTCTTCCCTGACAGCTCCAGAAATGGGGGATAATGAAACAAATCAAGAATTGATTCACCTTTTCAAAATGCAAATGCCATTTGCACTCGCTTTTTAATCAGAGTGACTCAAGCCTTCTGAATATTAATATCGACTGGAGGGAGATGGCCCACCTCTCTGGAAACAGATCTGAATGACTAACGTATTTTTTGCAAGAGGTCCCACAGCCTGAAGTCACCCACTTTTAAAAGGCGTCTCAAATCCAAACAGATCAGAGACATAATGTGGAATATTCTGATGATTAATGGGGTAGGGTGGGATGGAAATCAGCCTGTCATCGTTCTTCATTTATAAAAGCTTGGGATAATTATCTTGTAGCTCAAAAAGGAAAAAAAAAAAAGCTTTTTAACTACTCTTTTTCTTGGGAGAAGATAGTTTGAGATTGATGATCTTCTTTAGGCTTGGAGGCTTCTGCCTTGACTAGCAGGACAAATGCTTTTGTGAGCAACAGCGATGATCTTCTTCTAATCTATACCAATAATCCAGGGATTGACCATCTAGGAGAGGTGAGAAGAGACAGGGTGTTTTGCTCTCTGTGGTCCCTTTCTATCCTCTAGGATTTAATCTTTCTGGACACAAAGGAAGCCACTGAGCTGAATCCCCTATAATGTCATTATCTTTCAAGGATGTCACCGGGGTACCTGAAGACTCAGAAGCCTTTTTGGCCCACAAAGATGCTCTTAGACAAAAGATGCTGTGTGGCAGGTCAAAAATTTTCAGAGTGTTTCCAATCCATGGGCTGCTCATCCTTTGCTTGAAAAGCTCCAGCGATGGAGCCACCATGACTTTAGAAAGTAAGCAATTCCACTTGGGATTGATGTCCCCCTCCCCCCCCCCCAAGAAAGATGCTCAGAGTTACTCCCGAGCAAGTTCCTTTATTGTTCCTCACAGAGACAGAAATCTTGCCAAACTAAAGCAAACTACTTGCCTCGTTAAAGAGATACTTCAAGAATTTCTAGGAAGAAGCCGTTTTGACTTACTTACTCCCAACCAAATGTCTCTTGATCCTCTGCATTCGCTCTGGGGAATCCAGACTACATTCCACTACAGTAGATGATTGTCTGATCTCACAGGTAAGTTGGAAGCGTCCTGGAGTTTTGAAAACTCATAAAAGCAAATCGCCCTTCTTTTCTGCTTTTCAAGCCTGTCATCTCTAGTTTGTGACAGACGTTTCATCTTTTCCCACTGTTACATTCCGGTTATTCAAGAGGTAGAATTGTGAACCCTGCCAATTCAGTTTGCAAATAAAATAAAATAAACTGTCAAGAAAAACCTGAATGTAATGGAAAACCTGCTGGCAGAACAGTGAGCCAGGATATATAAAGAAACTCAAAACTGACGCCTCGTTTCATATTTTGCAATCTGAATTGACTTTTTTCTCCATCTCTTCGTCTCCACGTTCACCCACAGTATCTCTGAAGTGTATTCAAAAAAGAAAAAGAGAGAGAAAAAAAGGGGGGGTGGAAAACCTCCAACCATCTTCTCTACCTCCCACACAGTTCAGCAGTGAAATCTATGCATATTTGTCTTTATCATGCTTGGTGACTCCATAGCAAGAAGAAAAGCGCTGAATCTCCTGAGCAGTTGATTTTCTGGTGAATCTGTTGGACCTCTCTTCATCTTTTTCACATGCTCATGGACAGGACATGGCATGGGATGAGTTTTAAGGATTTCCTATCAGTTTAATTCCACCTGGAGCCTTAAAAAAATGCGCAAATCATTGCTGGTGAGAAATGCTGATCTCTATGAAGATGTCAACTCAACAGAAGAGCCGGCCTCCTTAATGAGCAACCAAACAGGCCAAGAAAGCTGGTCTGGAGATGCCTCCCTTGGTTTGGGGACTCTCTGTACCATTTACGCAGCCTACGCCTCCATCATTTCTATGGGTCTTCTAGGGAACGTTATCCTTGTCAAAGTCTTCTTCAAGATCAAGCCCATGCAAACGGTCCCCAATATTTTCATTACCAGCCTGGCTTTTGGGGATCTGCTCCTTCTCTTGACCTGCGTGCCGGTTGACGCTGCCTGTTACATCGTGGATATGTGGTTGTTTGGACGAATCGGCTGCAAACTCCTGTCTTTTATTCAACGAACCTCCGTGGGGGTATCTGTATTCACCCTCACAGTCCTCAGTGCTGACAGGTGAGTTTTGAGCATTTCACTGTTCATGAAGGCATTGTAAGAAATTAAACTTCCTAGGCAAGATTGTACCATGCTAGTCCATTGACCCGACCATCAAACAGCCAGATACAGATATCTTCACAGCTTTGTATTCTTTATTCCTATCTGATCACTCCTGATCCCCACACAGTTGACCACTGGGACATCTTCTGACTAGGAATGGATGCAAATTCTGATGCGTGGGAGAGTGCGCATTTGTGTGAGTGTAGGCTACGGTTTGGAAGATTTGTTTTCTAGTTGAGCAAAATCACTGCAGTTGAGCATCTCCTTATCTGTTAGGCTGTTTCGGTATTTAAAAGGTTCCTTTTCATTTCCAAGTAACAGAAAGTCACCGTGATAGATTCTTTTTTTCCTAATGGAAGAGAATCGGGAAATTTTGAAGCAAATTCTTTACAATTCACTGCTAACATCTAAAAATAATATAATTTACGGTGCAGCAAAGAAATGAATGAGCCAGAGAAAGAATAATGATATAGTTGAAAAACAAAATGCCTAAAAAAAGAGAATCTATGCTGCATCTTGGTGCTACCTAGTGGTGTGGAAAAGCAATTTACAAAAATACAAAATGAAATGTCAGGATGATTAGAACGTCTCTGGGGCCTGTTGCCTAAGATTCATAGAAGTTTTAATTTCCTGGACCAAATCAACTGGCTTTTATTAAACTTGGGCACTTCAGAGGACAAATATATTTGCCCAAGAATAATAAATAGCATCAAAGGTTTAGCTGTTGAATGTCTGGACCAGGGAAAGATAACACCTACCCAGGGCTTGGAGGGTGGCAATTAGAAGACCTTTGTGTTGCCTTCAGGGGCTCTCTGAGCAAGGTCACTAAAAGTCTATGATATATTTTTCTTTCCCTGCACATTTTGAGGTAAGAAACACACAGAGACTGTTGTATAACCCTGAGAGAGAGAGAGAGAGAGAGAGAGAGAGAGAGAGAGAGAGAGAGAGAGAGAGAGAGAGAGAGAGAGAGAGACTCAACATAGTCTGAAAGAAAAAGGACCGTAACCCAAGATACCCTTCACAAACAGAGGAGGGGGAAATCCTGAAGGTCCCAGCTCCATCATTCTCCTGCTCCCTGAGCTTTTTTCCTCAGAAATTGTCACAACCGAAGGTTACCCACTTGTGTTCAAGATCATCCTCTTCTATTGTTTTTGTGGTCATTTCATTAGCCCTCCAAGACCTGACACAAACTGTGTTGGTAGGTACAAAGCTATTGTGAAACCTTTGGAGCTCCATTCGGATGCTGTTCTGAAGACCTGCTGCAAAGTTGCTTGCATCTGGATCGTCTCCATGTTATTGGCTGCTCCGGAAGCCGTATCTTCTGACCTCTATACTTTTCACATGCCCGAGAAGAACACCACCCTCAAAACCTGCGCACCGTATCCCGTCTCTGAACGTGTCCTGCAGGAGGTCCACTCGCTGGTCTGCTTCTTGATCTTCTACATCTTACCCCTGGCCATCATATCTATCTACTATTTTCTGATTGCCAAGACGCTCTACAAAAGTACATCCAGTATGCCCGCAGAAGAGCAGGGTCATGCTCGTAAACAGGTAGGCAAAAATGTCCAGCCTGCATTTCTTATATATTTGGGTCTTTCAAAACAGAAACAGGTATCCTTCTTAGAAATAGGTCTTTTGGAGAACATGGAGGTTAACCCAATAGGATCACTCAATCTCAGGATGTTCGCAGGCATGTGGGCTAGTGGGTGTCATAAAAAGAACTCAAGGTGGGCTACGAAAGGTTGAGCCAATGGACACGTTTTGTCCCAAAATGGCATCACTGTTTTGGGATACAGAGGTGGTGTTTGAAGCACATGTGGCCCACAAGAAGGTTCAGTGGGGAGAAAGCCTTATTGTTTCATTGTGTGCCACCCAGTCATTTTTGTAAAATGGGCAGCTGTATAAAGTTTATAAAATGAAAATAAAGTATTTATATATATAATAAATCAGCAAGATTCATTAATCAGGCTGCTGAGGTGGGCTTCAGCTTTGAATCCCTAATCTGTAGTAATCTGGAATTTAACTCCAGAAAAGCAAATTTGGCTTTTTTTCTCACAATTGTGGAACCCTTTTTCCTTCTTCTTGTGTTGCACAAATCATGTTTTCTTTGCAGCTTTTATCAAGGGCAGGCTACACCCAGCTCTGGTTTTCTGCTGATAAGTGGCAGAAAGGAACCGGGGAGATGTTTCCCAGCTTGTATCTCAGGGAAAAACCTGACAAGCAGCAGCAGCAGTAATCCAGCCTGGCTTTTATGAAAAGAAGAAGCTAAACCTAGGTGGTTCTAAGTCAGTCCTTGACTCCTCAGGGGAATTCTGGGAGTTGGTCCACAAAAGGTTGGACAATCCCGCCCATCATTTTCCAGTTGACGACCATCACTAAGGCAGGCTTGGAACTCAAGTTCCTCTGCTCCTAATCCCATATCTTATCCTCTATACCAAAATGGTTTTCTCAAGAAATCTTCCACTTGCCATTATTTAAATAGCGAGTTCCTTCTCCATATTTTTCAATTACTAAGATTAAATACCCCTTTCTGTAAATTCCACCAATGAGCTGCACATGTTGGATGCAGTGTTGGTAATATTTACCGGGCTTGTAGGCGAACATAAGAAGATTCTTGATGGGTCATGCTTTAATGTTCCAACTTTCAGGGCAGTGCTCAAGCATCAGATAGCCTAGATGAACTGCTATATGTTGTCATTATATTATTGGTTTATAGCAAAAAAAAAAAAAGCACAGAAAGTTCCTTTCGTTGGCATCATCAATTAGTCAAAGAAGGTCTAGCAATATTTATCTTTTCTTGCCATGTTGATGTTGGGTTATTTTAAGAAGCCTACATAGAAACCAGGAACAATAAATTTGCATGTATTTCCCCCCTTAGATTGAATCCCGCAAGCGAGTGGCCAAAACTGTGCTGGTCTTAGTAGGATTGTTTGCCTTCTGCTGGCTACCCAACCACATCCTCTACCTGTACCGTTCGTTCACCTACCACACTTCCATAGATACATCCACTTTCCATCTGGTGGCCACCATTTTCTCCCGGGCGTTGGCCTTCAGCAATTCCTGCGTCAACCCCTTTGCTCTCTACTGGCTGAGTAAAAGCTTCCGCCAACATTTCAAGAAGGAAATCTTGTGTTGCAAAGCCAAGATGCCCGTCAGAAGGGCCAGCCTGACTCAGAGTCACACCCCAAGCAGAGCCATGTCAGTCACAGGATCGGAAATCAGTGTCACTTTGCTCACAGATTATAGCATCACCAAAGAAGAGGAGAGCGTTTAATTGCCTGGAGGATCATCGTCCCGCTTGGACTGCCCAGCAAGATCCAGAAAATGGCTGAATGTAGAGGAGAGCTTCTTGTGCTTGGCAGAAACCTTCCCAGTGCATTGTAAGATATCACATCTCAGCATCACAAAACTTTTCCTGCAAATCACAGCAACGTATACACCCCTACGTGGTTTTCCTCCCAAGCTGCCCTCTCAGGCATGTTTGACTTAAATCAGAACCAGCATATTCCCTTTTACGTTACAAGGAGAAGAACTTGATTTGGTTTAGATCAGGATACAGAACACTGGAAGCTGCGTAGGAAGGAAAGGCCTGTCAAGAATCCGTTAACCTGAAGGTTGAGCTCTTGAGACTGCAGGAGGAGAAAAGGGCTGCTAGCAGCTCCAATAGCATTAACAGAATAACAGAGTTGGAAGGGACCTTGGAAGTCTTCTAGTCCCACCCCCTGCTCAGGCAGGAGACCCTATACCATTTCAGACAAGTGACTGTCCAGCCTCTTCCTAAAAACCTCCAGTGCTGGAGCATCCACACCTTCTGAAGGCAAAGCGGTTCCACTGATTAATTGTCCTGTCAGAAAATTTCTTCTTAGTTCCAGCTTGCTTCTCTCCTTGATTAGTTTCCATCCAGTGTTTCTTGCATTAGAAAGAGATACGGAGGTTTCATGAAAAAAAGGGGATTAGTGTCAATTAGTCATAAATGTAGCCCATGTGCCGTCGGAATCCTCCCACCAAATATATACTGCTTGCAAATAATGGCCAATAAGCCGCTCTCTTCATATTCTGCTTCCAGAGACATTTGCTTCTGCATTAAAGGAGATTTGGAGATACAGGAGGATTTTGAAGGAAGGCTGGTCATACTCTTGACCAGTGTACTTATGTCGGTCGCGGCATCCTGAGGTCATGTCATCATCATCTGTGATCTTCTCAGGGCGCTTCCAACACACAAAGTCAATGGGGGAAGCCCTATTCGCTTAAGGACTGCATGATTAGCTTAACAACTGTGGCAAAAAAAGTCTTTAAAATCAGGCATAACTCATTTCACAACCACATTGCTTCGTGAAGAAAACTCTGGTTCCAGTTCTGGCCATTAAGTGGAGCACTACCTAGAATGTCCTTGCCCCTTCTTTAACGAAGTAAGAGGTTTGCATTTATCGTTTAAGCAGGTTTTTTCTCCTCCATGGTACTGCGACCTTGTTGTGAAATTTAAATTATTAAGCCCTAATAAAGCTTGCTTTCAATACAGAAAATGGTAACAGATTCTGTATTATGAGTTGTTATTGAATAACAGAGTTGGAAAGGACCTCGGAGGTCATCTAGTCCAACCCCCTGCTCAGGCAGGAAACCCCATACCATTCAAGGCAAACGGCTGTCCAATCTCTTCTTAAAAACCTCCAGTGTTAGAGCACCACAGTCAACAGAGTCCAAAGCAGCCAATTTCTAGTTTTATGAGGTTCCATCCCTGTCCAGTTGTGAGACCATCTTCATCAAAGAGTTGGGTTTAGGGTTATCATCAATAGTGATTGCTTCGCATATGGTAACATTCAATATTCGTTTTCAGGATGAGCTTGGCACATGATTTGGGTTGTTTGTTTGTTTTTTAGTTCAGAACATACTATGAGTTGGAGAACTCTGTTTTTAGCTTGTTCTTTAACTATTGCAATCTTAATGAATCTCCTTAGAAGCCTCCCTTTCTTGCCAACAATTTCTACCCTCATTCAAATGAATTGGAGGGCTGGAAATATTATATTTCCAAGGATTTTGGTTACAGCATTGATCCCGAGGGTATGCTGCGGGAAGAATCCCCACTTCAATAAGGAACCAACTGCTGGGTTGTTTCTACTGACGCTGGAATACACCAGGGGAGGAAGAGAAGTACTAGATTTTACTGTGCTCCCCACGGTGCAATTTCTGAGCTGGGGCCAGGAGGAACTGCACATTTCCCTACTGATTTGATTCACATCCCTCACTAACCCATTATTAGCTATAGTGTGGTTTGTTCACTAAGTCACAGTTGGTTCAACACATATCATTAACCATTGTTTACGTGCCACTGTGGCTGGATCATATATACCAAACTTTAAAAAAATATAAAGCACATATAACCTCCAACCATTGCAATCATGATTTGCACATTCATTTGAAACTATATTGCGTTTAATTTTACTGAACTTTCAGTAAAAAAACAACAACAATATAGAGCTGGAGTGCTACTGGTTTCAATGCAGTCTAAACCACTAGCTGTTTCCTCAGAAGTGCCATTGAATTCAGTGAGTCCAACATTAAATGAATGCATTTAGAATTTTACACAAGTAAAAATAACCAACTGGACTGAGCTGGTATTTCCAGCTTGTACTGCTCAAAAGAAGCCAGGTATTTTACTGCCTTATTATTATGGCATCACAATGCATTCTGAGTTCCTACAGCTAATGAATTATTTAAACTGCTTTTCTTATCTTAATATTTTGAAACCATTCCAATTCACTGAACTCTTAAATTTTGACGCTATTCAGTTTTTAAAATATGCAATTGATGCATTCAGTTTAAGATCTTAAAAATCAGTCATCTTAAAATACTGTTAACTCAGCTCGGATCCATGCATTAGGAATAAAACAATCTCTCGGCCAAAATTGTGACAGTTTTTCAGACTTCTATTCTAGAAGTGTGAAGATACAGTATCTCTAATGAGGCAGCCGGTACCAAAGTAGATTAAGGCAAAAGGTTATTGACAAATCTAAAATTACATCTCCAGTAAGTCATTCTGTCAGCTCGTTGGGTGGTGATTTAAGGCCGTTCTGGATGAGGGTTTCCCTCTTACATTTGGATTACCATTCAGCTGGGTATGACAGCAAGATATTTTTTGCTCCAGAGTACTGATTTCAAAACAGGCTTGAAGCTTTTCAGCCACAAAGGCAATGAGTTTCATTTCTTGGTGCAATTCCTCTAAGGCTTCATTAGCAAGAAAATAAATAAAGAGTACATCTGGGCTTTGAAGCCTCAGGATTTTCCTCAATAGCAGTGTTTCTTAAATCTGGCCACTTTAAGATGGGTGGACGTAACTCCCGGAATTTCCCAGCTACCATGTCAGACTGGGTAATTCTGGGAGTTTAAATCCACTCTCTTAAAGTTGCCAAGTTTGAAAAACACGGCTTTACAGAAAAGACCCCAGAATATCTTCTTTGATTGTCTCTGCTGAGGACACTGGCTGAGGAGGCTGCAACCCCATCATCCACAAGCTGTGGATGACGGGAGTCATTGCTCAGAAGCTGCAGATCGCATCAGGTTGGGTTGGTTTTATAGTACAACCCCCATTTCATCCAAACAAGGGTTATGCAGGCTGGGGATGATGGAAGCTGTAGTCAACCTCTTCCCTATGAACTGTTATGGGCACCTGCCCTGTTGACCCCTTTGCCTGGAACGGAAGTGGATCAAATCTGAGAACTGGGAAGAACTTTTCCTTTGTTTGTTTAGGAAGGAGAAAACTCAAGACCCTTTCCCAAAAAGATTAGAGCAAGAGACTCTTTCTGGACATGCGTAGTTCCCTCACACTTATCTCCTTCCGGCCTTTCCTTCTCCTCAGGCACAAACGTACTGCTCAGCTCCGACGTTCATTGGCTGCCTTTGTTGTTGTTTGTCGCTGTTTTCGGCCTAGGCCCGCCTTCTTTCCAAAAGCGACTTCCGCTCTTGCGCAGTGAGGAGCAGGGTTCCTTTCCTTCAGCTGGTACGCTAGGGGCAGAGACGAGACCGAAGCAGGGGAGCGCTTCTGCGCTTGCGCGCTAACTTCCGGCCGACGCGAAGGCGGGGGAGCGCCCTTCTGCGCCTGCGCAGTCGCCTCATCTCCAGCTGAGACGAGAACCCGAGGATTTTACCGCGGCGGGATGGAAGAGCCGGCCTGGCTCCATCGCCTCTGAGCGCGGGCGCCCTTCTCTGTTTAAGCCGGAAAGGCCCGAACGGAGCCTCGCCGCGAGAGGGGGGCCGCGCGTGCGCAGCAGGGCCCTGGGCGCGAGCCGTGCGCGCATGCGCCCCAGCGCGGGAGGACCCCGCTGCGAAGCGTTTCCAGGCCGGGCCGGGCCCGGGCGGCGCCCGGTCGTGAAGAGCGGCGTCGAGTCGGGCGGCACCATGAGCGTCGGCGGCTCGGACCGCAACGAGGACTTCCACCAGCAGCTGCGGCTGCAGGAGCTCTACGAGCGGAAGGAGGGCGGGGGCGGCGAGGAGCCCTTCACTTACACCGACCCCGCCGACGGCACGCAGTACGAGTGGGACCGCGAGAAGAAGGCCTGGTTCCCCAAGGTGGGCCGGGCCGCCGGCCCCATCCTCCACAGCGGGGAGGGGGGGCTGGGGAGGAATCCAAAGCCCATGGGGGGCATCCTGTCTCTGCCTGTTTCCCTGTCGGCGGAGAGTGATGGGCATTGTAGTCCTGGGCTGGCTTGGGGGGGACACGGTCTTCTGGTTTTCAGGCTGCAACAGTCTTGCTTTTGTTAGTGGGGAGTCTTCCTGTGGGTGGGGGAGTCGCCCAGTCCTTTAGCCTTCCTTATAAAACCAAATAATTTCATTAAAGGCATTGATTTTTTTTTTTTTTGCTTAGGATAATAATCCCTGCATCATCTGCCTACAAATTGATAGTTGCTCTGAAGAGAGCGAAAGGGTTGGCATATAAATTTATATAATATATATTATATAATGTAAACCATAAAGGTGCCAAATCCAGTCTTAAAACTTCAGGCTGACTAAGCAATGGACTCTGCAAATCATCATCATCATCCTGATTTCTTGGGGCAAAAATGCCATTTTTTGAGATGAGCCCTCTTGGCCAGCCTCGATTTTTCTTACTTGCTCCTTTGGTTTGCTGTCCTTCTGACCCTCCTTATCTCTCTCGTGGATCCCTTTACTAGGTTCTCAACCTGCCTTATAAAAAATAGATAAAGGAAAGGCAATGAAAACATCGAATACTTTAGTTTTGTAACTCTCTCAAATGGGAATACAGCAATTCAGTAGGTTGGTGTTTCTCAGCCTTGGCAACTTTAAAAGGTGTGGGTTCCAACTTCTCACTCTTCCAGGAATTATTTACTTTGTTTTCTAAATGGGCATCTAGATCCAGGATTAACAGGCTAGCTGCATCTAACGTGGACTGCATCTGCATTGTACAATTCTGCTGCTGAATCAAGTGATGAGCAGTTGCCCCTGAAAAGTCTCTGACTTTCTTCCCTAAATTCTGAAGAATATTTGTAAGAATTGTGGACGGTTGCTAGCATTTTTAGATGTCCAAAGCGAATCTTGCAGGGAGTCTGCTAAGGGAGAGTAAACACTCTACAACTCGTTGATGACTTGATCTCAAAGATATGTACAGTTGCTGGTGCTCCAAGTAGCTTTCTGTAGTATCTCTAGAGTAGCATCCTTTTACCCTATGTAGGCCTGCCTATCTCCCTCTAAGCTGCCTATCAGTTGTTGTGCCATTATGAACGGTTAAAAATAGAACATGATCTGCATTATTTGTTTCAGGAGGCCACCTTGGGCACTTGCAATAACATTTAAATCTTAATTTGGTTTCTAATTGGTTTCCTGAATAATGTCTTTTTAGATCACTGAAGATTTCTTGGCAACGTACCACGCTAACTATGGTTTTTCCACTGAAAGCTCCAATACTTCGGCGTCCGTTGCAAAGACTGAATCTAAAGCTGCACTGGATTCCAAGGCTGCCAAACCATCACAGCTGCTGCCGACAGACCTTAAACAAAAAGGAGAGAAAAGAAAAGCCGAAGCAGGCAAGGGGCTCCGTCGTGCATGACTTAAAAGTAGTCTGCTGTTCAAGAAGAGACCTGTCTTCCTGCGGAGTTGAGCTTGTGTGGGCGTCAGAGCATCCTTAGAGTTGGTCAGACTCAGAAAGCCTAATTTTAAAGGATCAAATTATGGCCAACTTCTAGGAATTTGTGAATGTTGTTAAAGCTTGATAGGTGTGAAGATAGGAAAGTGCCATTTATACTAGGTCAGGCTGTTTAGCCAATGTGAACTTTAGTCTGAAGAGCTGTTCTCTTTTCTTTAGAGGTGCAATCCTAACTTATCATCATCTCCCCTTTAGGATGGTTTCATGTTGAAGAACAGAAAAATACAAATGTTTATGTGACAGGTGAGGAGCTGTCTTGAATTTTTGCTGGTTGTGAAAGCTAGGTTATGAAATGGCTGTGGCGATCTGGTTCTCCTGTGAAATGGATTCAAGCCCCTGAATATCATTTTAAATATTTCACGTGACATAAAATCTTTGCTTCTGGAATTAAAAATGATGCCAATGGCTTTAAGTAAAGTTTCAACGGAGGGGAAGAGTGATAAGTATCACATTTATTTAAAAATCCGGTTCTATGTATTTGAATTATTTGGGAAGTGCCTCAAAATGCCAAAGTTGCCGCACAACTCCATGCAGGTTTTGTAGTCAATTTGTCCACTTTTGTTTCCCATTCTTGGTGAACTGAAATTTCTCTCCGTGTTAATGAGGATGGATGTTTTGCTGTGCTTTAAATGTGAGGCCGGTGCCTCTAAATAAATTCCAGTCATGTTCCTTTTTTACTTCCTAGTTAGACGATCACCTTATGGCCACTCAGCTTTGGCTACATGCTTAATGACTGTGTAGTTGAGTGGTAAAATGCCTTCATGCTGTATCTGGAAGTGCCCATTGCAGCATTTGGGACCTTTGCCATGTTTGATATGAACTCCCATTTCCTAGCTGTGTAATGCTTGTAAAATGCACAATATTTCTGAAGCCTCCATCATAATGGTGCTATTCTGACTGGCTTGTGATCTCCTGGCAGAGACCTCTGCCTTGGATACACAAGACACCTCCAAGAAGAGAGTTCCCCGCCTGGCTGCACACCATGACTTTGAGGCTGTTTCCCGTGATCTCATTCTGCTCTGTGTTAAAGGTGTTAGTTCTCCAAGGAGCAGATGCCTGCTGACAATGACAAAATGCCTTGCAGAGTCCACCTCAAACGTGTTCATGGGTTTCAAAGCTTACATTTTGAGCGGAGAGTGCAGAATTTGCAGAACTGCATTAAGGATTTTATATCCAACTTGGGAGTTAGAAAATAGAAGAGAACTACGATTGTCCTTTAGTGGCATATTTTTTTCCACTCGCAGTTGGGATCCAATGCTGCCTAAATGCAAACGCTGTCAAGACCATGCCGAATGAGGGGGAATAGACAAAGATACCAGGGTGGCAAAACAACAACCTAGTGACATTAAACGTTCAGTTTGGTTTTGTTGTTGCATTTGTGTCTGTTCAATTTTACCTTTCCAGGTTTGCCACCAGATATCACAAAAGATGAGTTTATAGACGTTATGTCAAAATGTGGCATCATTATGCGCAATCTTCAAACGGAGGAACCAAAAATCAAGCTCTACAAAGACAAGGAGGGAAACCTTAAAGGTGACGGACTCTGTTGTTATTTAAAGGTTAGTTGTTTATTCTGTCACAGTGTGCCCTCATGGTGATCCTGTGGTTGCAGTTGTTATTGCAAAAATAGATCTCCAGCCCCTTTGAGTCTCTTTATTTAAAATTATTTTAGTTTAACTTCTGGGCACTCCTATGAAATTTATGAGAAGCATGTTTTAATGTCTGTCCCAAATGTTATCACTTTGTCTGTTTAGGTGGAAAGGGGAGGTCTTAAACCAGATTTTCTCTCTCTGTCTGTCTCTTTTCACAGAGAGAATCTGTTGAACTTGCGCTGAAATTGCTGGATGAAAAAGAAATCCGAGGCTACAGACTGCATGTGGAAGTTGCCCAGTTCCAGCTTAAGGGGGAGTATGATGCCAGCAAGAAGAAAAAGAAATGCAAAGATTACAAAAAGAAGCTCTCTCAGCAACAAAAGTGTGTGGCTCTTTGTCAAGACACCTCGAAACTTTGATAAGAACGTTTTGCTTTTAAGGTTCAAATGTATTTGCCTGTGGAAAATGTGGCCAGGCTTGCCTTTTCATTAAACCCGGGGCTTGAAAAGGATTGTATTTATAGGAAATGCATGAAACCTTCATCTTTAAAGCAGCTCAGATTACCCCAGGAGGACAGCCCCTAATAAAATGTGGATTTCAATGTCAAGTTATTTTTCATGTAGGTGGCTTATAGATAAGACATCAGTTTCAATGCTGCTGGGGAACTGCCTTTCATTAACGGGGGGGGGGGGAAATAATTCTGCCAGCTCTGATTTCAGAAACATCCAATTTCTTTTTCAACAATACTTTTAGAAACTGAAGAGAGACACCCCCCTCTCAACCTCTTAATGTTGCTTCATTTCATTAGACTGCTGGATTGGCGGCCGGAGAAGAAAGAGGGGAGCGTTAGATTGCGACAAGAGCGGGTTATCATCATCAGAAACATGTTTCATCCCAAAGATTTTGAGGTAGGTAAAAACCCAGCAGGGCTTCACAAACTGCAATCCTTCCCGAAAGCCTGGGAACGCATGGTCTCCCAAAGATGACACAAACGGAGCCGGGCTCGTCGCTTCTAGCCGAGGCTGTTGGGACTATCGTATCCAGCCATTTAATTTGCTCCTCCTGTATTTGAAGGCACAATGTTACCCTCCAGTGGGACATACTCCAAATGTATTTCGTAATCGCATTTAGGCTTATATACCACCCCGTAGCACTTTACAGCACTCTCTGGGTGGGTTTACAGTGTAAACATTATTTGCATGTTGCCCCCAACAATCTGGATCCTCATTTTATGACCTTGGAAGAATGGAAGGCTGAATCCACCTTGAGCCAATCGGGATCAAACTCCAGGTGGTGGGCAGAATTTGCCTACAACGCTGCACTTTTGCCACTAGGGCTCCTTTATCTGTTCATCTCTTTATATTTACCCAAAGGCTAGGAGTCGTGGGGCCTGTAGTCCAACATGCCTGAAGTTTGTAAGGTTTCCTAGTCCTGGTACAGGTGCTCGGTTTCTGTTAGGATCAGCTAAAGAGAGTTCCACCTTTAGAGGATGACGTTTTCCGTTCAATCTGTGCTTTTGAGCATTGATGAAAACGGAACCCAACAAGCTTTTGAGCTGTGCATAGCTAATAATTCAGGCAAGATGGTCTGGTATCTCATTTTACTGGTCAAGAGTGCCAAAATTGTTCTGTGAAGTGCTTTTGCTTTCTGAAAGTGTTGGATTCATTTTTAAAATATGCTTTAAAATGTCTTTCCAGGAGGACCCCTTAGTGCTAAATGAGATCCGGGAAGACCTACGGACAGAATGTGAAAAATTTGGTCAAGTAAAGAAAGTCATTATATTTGATGTATGTATCAGAAATACTCCGTCCTAATTTTGCCTTGTACTTTTGAGACGTTCTTCTACAAAAGCACTAATAATTATCACACCAGCCGAGCTCCATTTAGAATCATAAGTTTGTTTGTTGAAGAACCCCACGTAATTTTTAACTTTTCAAAAAAGTTCTTTATTCAGCGAGCCCTTATAAAACACTATGTCTGTATCATGAGCCTTGGGACAGCAGCAACATTTTTAAAATTAAAAGAAGTTTTAAAATATAGCCCACTCTAGTGCTGTATTTGACAATTGAAGGGTTAAATCAGATGATAACATAGAAAGGTTACTAGATTTCTGGAGAACACATATTCTTATCATTATGGGGAGGTGTTAGAAGAATAACCAGGAAAAGGTAAAATGTTAGGCAACTTAAAATGATTTCAGGGTCTGTTTTTCTCTAAAAGTGGCAGTTTTAAGAACAGAGAGAGTGTTGTCATGCTTTGTGAGTCCCAGGACTGTGCTTGTGATTCTGAAATGGGGCCTTCTCTTAAATACGGGTGATGCCTAGATCTAACTTGATGGCTCTCCCCCCCCCCCCCGTGTTCGTAGAGGCATCCCGATGGAGTAGCGTCCATATCCTTTAAGGAAGCTGAAGAGGCTGATGTCTGCAAACAGGCACTCAATGGGCGATGGTTTGGTGGACGGCAGCTCTCCGTGGAAACGTGGGACGGTGTAACTGATTATCAGGTATATTTGGCTTAATAAAGGTCGTTTTTTTTTAAAGAAAGATGCGAGTATGAGTAATGAAGGAAGCCAGTTACGACCGAAACTGGGGGACTGAGTTCTAATCCTGCCTTAGGGATGAATCCAGCTGGGCGACTTAGGGCTGGTCCTTCCCTCTTGACCCTAGGAAGAAGTTGTTTATGGTAAGCCAGTTCTGAAATCTTGTGAAGAAGATTTCAGGAACGTTGTCCAGACAGTCTCTGGGAGTCTTGACTGATTCGAAAATGAGAATAACTTAGTTATTTAAGAGGACCTCTTTATGCTTTGCGCTTGGATTTGAAATCCCTCCTAAAAGGGATTTCTGATCCCTAGAACAAAACTATTGATCATGAAACAGAACATGCCTTCCCTTCCCCTCCTTCTCCTCAAGTATTGACAATTTCCAACATGTCCCACCCCCAGGTTGAAGAAACCTCCCGGGAAAGAGAAGAAAGACTGAAGGGATGGCAAGAATTTTTAGGGGATCCTGACCAAGAACAGCTTAAGAAGCCGTCGGATGCAAATTCTTCAGAAAGTGGCCCGCAGCGGGTCGAAAGAGACCCGCCCTCTCAAGATAACGGGGCCGCTGAAGCTGACACAAAGACCGAAGCCGCTGAGGGAGGAGATGCCCACAAAGGAGCCGGCGAAGATGTCGTGGCGTCCACCGACAGCAGCGGGGCAGGCAGTGACGAAGAAGTAGAGACTTAACGCCACTCATCGCTTGTCGAAAGCATGATTGCAGGCTCCCCTCAAGATCTTTCTTCTCCTTTCCTGATGCAGTTGCAAGCTCCACTCCAATCAATGAATATAAATAAATATATGTGTGTGTGTGTGTGTATGAGCGCACGTTTCCTTGTTAGGACATCACCGACGTGCTTTTAAAGTATTGCATATATATATATACATATATGCAGGTCTTGGTGTATTCGGGTCTTTTCCCGTGTAAGATTGAGAGTATCTTGGCGACAGTCCCATTCATATTCATATTCATATATTTTCATGTCTGGCTGCGACTGAAGCTGCGTATATGTCATAAGTTGCCAAGAATCCTGCTGAACTGACCAGCTGTCTTTTAAAGTTCCACCTTTGCTTGTCAGTGTCAAGTCCATCCACGTGTGAAGTAGGTACAATTTCCCCAGTTCCCCTGAACTACACCATAATCTTTAGACACCCAGGTATGAACGCTTTTCGTTGTTGCTCTAATGCCACCTCCTCCCAGCCTACTAATCCTCTCTCTGTATGATACGGATTCTTGCCTGCTGTGGATGCACCGGCATGGGCTTGAAATAGCTGGTTTTCCTTATTATTAATTGATTTTTTTAAAGTAGCAGATCATTGAAGATGTATTCGCACTCTCCGCTGTCGAGGGAGATTTGAAAGATCAAGATCTGAAGATGCTATTCTGGTGTGTGAAGTTCCTTGTGATTCATGTCCTTTGTTCGTTAATAGAAGTCTGCGCTGAGGGAAGCTAGGTAATAAACGGGAAAAAGAATGTATACAAGATTAATTCTGATCTTCACTTTCTAAATTTTTGTTTTGATTATTAACTCATTGGAAACATGCGGAGTGCATGATTGTTTGGAGGTGTGATTCCTGCCTTGTTCCGGTGTTAACTGTTCAACTATAGTTGTGTTTTGAGTATTTGTCAAGACCAAGTGTACGACGCCTGTATTTTTTTATACTGGATTGATTATAGGAGATAACTACGAATAAAATTGTTTTGAGATTCATTCCCATAATTGTTTCTCAGATTTTTAAACAATTTTTTGTAGAGATTAACTGCTTAAAATTATTCTTTTTTTTTAAATTGCTGCCGAGACTTTCCAAATGCTTTGCACAAATTTACTTTTCTTCTAACTACATATTCAAATAATGAAATGATTGTTTCAGCCATTTCAGGTCCACTTAATGAGGAGAATCTTTGCTTTTGTTGTGACAATAATGGCACACCTGCTCTCCGTTTGCATGCGAGCGTAAGAAATCAGATGCTTCATACCGAGTTTGCTTTTTTAGCTGAAGGATATTGTAGTTTGTAGAAAACTTTAAATCAAGATCTCGGCCCCCATTACTTGAGATGGATGATTACACAAATAATTTTCTGTTGACTCCAACTGTAGCAAAGTTAGAAGTGGAATTTGAGGCTTTTCTCTCCCTTTGGCTGGGAGAAAGAAGAAAGGCTGGAGCCGAAATACAACATCGATGACTGTTGCATCTCGTCGGACTGTTTAGGAATCTACACTGATGAAAAATGGGCTATTTTGCTGAATAATCTTTTGTAGAATAAAGCTAAGTGCTTAATGTACCAGTTTTGTACCTTGAATTTGTGATCAAGTCATCTCTTGCAAATACTTTGCGTTGCCTTTGAGCTGTTTGTCTTAAAGGTACTCGCCACTAACACCTGACATATCTTTAAAACACTAAAATTTTGAGTTCACTGAAAATAAGAGGTTCAAAGTAAACCTTAAAAGGCTGTCATCTGTCCTAAACGAAATATGTGGCAATGTTTTAACGCACAAGCCCATCCTGGATTTTCTCTTGCTGTGGTGTGTTGCGATATATGACGACAGAATGAGGTCAGTGAAACTTGCACAACTTAGGAGCTAGTGTGACAGTTCCAAATAAAATATTTCTGGAATTTAAATTATCATTCCATTACAAAACCTCTGTGGCCTTATTTGTGGAGGAAAATAATGTCAGAGCAGACCTAATTAGTATTTACAGCCCTTGAGGATGCCGGGATCAAACCTTAAAATAGATGGTTGCATTTCTAAGCATTATATTCCTTTCTTAGGAAAATCTGGCTGTTCTTCTTTTAGAGAATATATCTGATTGTCTCCTTCCAGCTCCTCACGTCTCCTCTATTTATTTAGAAGCCATTTTGACCTGAATATGCCTATCTCTGGTATTCCACTGGTTTCTATTTGCAAATCTGTAATCATCTTCAAATGATGTAATTCCAGATTTTGAGCCTGGTACAATTTGTCATAATAAGTGGTGGTGGGGTGTTGCCTAATAAAATATTTATTAGGCTTAAATGTTTCTGAAACATTATAAAATTATTGTAAAAGTTAATTTCTACCCTAGTATTTATACAGATATATATTATCTCCATAAAGTATTTGTGGGTTTAATCTCAGAAGAATTATAGCAATTTTTACATAGAACTGGCTATTCTGTTTCTATATATTAGCGTGTCTTCACATGACTGCATTACAAATACAGCTACTTGAGAAGATTTGATGCATTGCTGGACTCAAACTTTTCATTTCGTTTGCATTGTTCAGTCCTACTTTTGCAAATTATAGTTTCCTCACAGTACAAGGATTTACTCGGGGTGAATTTGAATTTCATACGGTTAAAACTGGAAATGAATGGGGCTTCTTATTTAAATTACTACTTCTGTTAACTTAGGGCTAGGTCTAAATTAAATCCAGTCTGATCTGATTCGTTCTACAAATTACATATAAAATTCTTCATAATATGAGACACACTGTTAAGCAAGGCCTCCTTCCTAGGCTGGTATAGAATTATATGAAGTCATGAGGCGTTCATCCTCAATGTTTTTATTTTTGCAATAATTATCAAAGTCTTTCCAAATCTGGTGCTCTTTCTTGGTAACCATCTTCAGACTTTATTCATCCCCAGCTGGCGAAATCAGTATTTGTTATAACACACCTAGGTATGTTTTTTGGGCCCAGCACTCTGCCACTAAAAAAAGCAGCGTTTCTCCACTTCAAGCTTGGATGTTGACTCTCAAGAGTTCCCCAGCCAGCCATGTGGCCACCAAGCACCGTAAAAGCCGAAATTCACCAATTTGTCTCTTGAGTTGAAATATTTGACTCTTCAAGCCGTTTCCAGCAGTTAAGATTCAGTTCAAGCCATACTGAGAGGTGCAAATTGGGGCATGCCTTGAACATCCCTTGACTTGTGGCCACAATTGAGCCCAACATTTCTGTGGCTAAGTGAGACTGGTTAAGTGAATTTTGACCCAGGTTAGGACCTTTCTTGCCACAGTTGTTAAGTGAGTCACTGCAGTTGATAAGTTAGTAATGTGGCTTCCCCGTTGACTTTGAGCCAGGACACTGCAACTGTCATAAATACGAGTAAATTGCCAAATGTCTATTTTGGTCACAAGGCCCTGGGGGTGGAGGAGACGAGACGCTGCAATGGTCGTGAGAAAAACAGTCCTAAGTCACTTTTCCCAGTGCTGTTGTGACTTGGGTCCCTAAACGAACTTAAGTCAAGAACTACCTGTATATAATATAACAATTCGATCACATGAGCCCTGGATTAGAGGCTGGTGGCAAATAACTTTCCAGTCTAAATGAGGAACAACAACAAGGAAATTAAACAGGAGAATGTTAAAAAGCGAAGCATACTGTCTGCAATAACGGCACCGATCCACCCATAAAAGGAAAACTGGATTTTTAACATTCGAGCCACGTCCATCTTGCAGCACCGGGAACAGATCTTCCCTGCAGAGACCTGGCCCTTGCCTGTTGCCAGCTATCTTTTACGAGCACCCTGAACAGTCCTTTTTATTGTCTTCTTTCCTGAAACCTCTAAACCTGGTTGACTTGTCAGGGTGCATTTCACACATTCCTGTTGGCGAGCCTGAAGGATACGCCTAGTTCAGTCGCCACTAAAGGAACAGAAAGGAGCTGCTGGTATAGTCTGGTGCCCTTCTCCTTGTTGTTGAGTTGCTACAGAGCTCGCTCTAGAAGCAGTGGACTCCAAGAATCGCAGCATGAAGTGAACTAAGGTATGGAAAACATTCTCAGGACAGCTTCTGAGTTCCTCTTTCTCAGAGGTTTGGGGGAAATCCTAAAGTTTATTAGTCCAAGCAAGATGCATCCAATGGAGACCAGAGACCATCTAATCTAACCAGAGTTACGGGAGATGTAACGTGTTTAGTGGAGAGCTACAATTTCTGGAATGCAGTAGTTTAGATGCAGTAGTTTAGCTGAAATTGTAGTTTCCAATTAATGGTATGGTTGACATTTTAAAAATAGGGGTAGTCCTGACTAGTTCTGCACTAATTATTGTGTATCTCTTCAGAATCCTACCCTACTTTGATCATGTGAATCTTGGTTTATAATCAAGTATTTTCAACGGGTTAAAGTCCACCTATTTTTATTCCTGACCTGGAAGGAATATTAACCATAGAGGGAGGGCGTAGGAGGAGGTGGCCATTCTGTGGACATCTGCAATGGGACATTTGTTAGGCATCATGGATAATACATGCTGGGCTCTTACCCTCAATCTCGAGAGAGCTGACTTTATATTTAAAGCTTCTGGTACTTAAAAAAAAAAAAGAAAATTAAATTCTGCTGCCACTTTTTGTGGAAGAACTATTTTCATCTCAGATACCGGTTGGGAAATCAAAAAGATAATTACTTGGAGGAAACTATCCTCCCAAAGTCACATGTCTCCAGGGCCAGGCTACATTTCCTACAAGATGGGGGCTCTAGTCATTGGTGTGGACAGTTTTGTCCTTTTTGAAGAACTGGGTTGTACATCTGTGGGCTCTCTTGGCAGACAACCAAGAAGAACATTAAATATTTTCTGTGAAGGATGAGTTACCAAATCCTTGAGGTGCCATTTAAAAATTGCTTAGGCTTCCTGTGCAAGTCCTACCCCATTGCCTGTGTTTACATAACATGCTAAACCATAAGCCATGCTTTACAAGTCACATTGTCCAAAACACCAGTAATTGCATGGGTTTAATATCTTGGCCATTATGCTCACATGCTTGGTTTGATTGGTCTTTGCATGTTGTATTAAGTCCTGATGGTTCCTGAGAACTTTACAGTTGGGAGTGTTCTCCTAGAAAGGAATGTGGCACCAAGGCAGGGCAGCCCCACAACTTCAATTGTTTAGGTGTCCCAGATAATCATAGAATTATAGAACTGTGATATTGGAAGAGGCTACAAGGATCTTCTAAAGCAACCTTCTGCATTGTATAGGACAACCAATTCCATGAAAGGTGGCCATCCAACCTCTTTTTAAAGCTTTCAGAGATGGACAACCCATAAACTCAGTAGGTATATTCCACTATGCCTTCCCTTATTACATATATTTTACTGTAAATGAACTTGTGGTAACTACAAATATACTAGCTAATTTTTGGTCCTTGCTTCTGTGCTAATGGAAAATAACTCCATCTTCTCTCTGGAACTTTTAGATACTTGAACACTAATCTCATGTCTTCTCTCTTTCCCGTTTTCTCCAGGTAGATTAGAGCACCCCAAGCATAAACTCTGAGTAAGCAATGATCTTGGGAAGGGGAAGCAGGAAATAATCCATAGCATGGACCATCAACTCCATGTACATCTTTCTTGTGTCACGTTTATTTTCAGGTTATTTTCAAGTATGGAAGAGACAAAGAATAATTCCACAAAGCTGAGCAGAACCAAACAGCCAGTGAAAACAGAATGGGGAGCCCATTACATGGTATTAACCTACTTCCAAGGAGACACTAATAGCATGGTGGATGAACATTTCTCTAGAGCTTTGAGTGTCACCAAAAACCCTCAGGATCTGAGTAGAAACAACAGTGCCAAAGATGACCTTATTAACAACGGTGAGCCATGGCTTGTTCTACTTATTGTAGTTAGCAACTCATTCAACAAAGAACTGTGACTCCTTATTGACAATAGATTTTTCCAAGTATAATTGTATCCAGTGCTTTTTTTGTAAAAAAAAAAAAAAAAAAAAGGTGCCGGAACTCACACAT